GCCGGCAAATCAAATCAAATCTGGATTTGATTTGAGAAACTTTCAAATCCTCAGATTTGTTTTGAATAATAACCTCTCTAGTCTAAAACTGTCCCCGACTGCTGCAAGGCGTAAAAAACGTCAAAATTGGTTTTTTTAGTTTTTTTCGTGGGCATAAAGTGTTTTAAACTAATTGAAAAGCCCTCTAATTCTTTCGCCCTCCCGCAAACCCCAAAATCGACTACGGAAACAATTTTGGCCAAAATTTAGTTTTAAAACTTCATGAAAAGCGTCAAAAAGCATATTTCATAATGTTTTTGGGAAATTGCAAATTTTTTAAAGGGCCATCCGCGCGACGCCGTCAATCGATCGATACCTGACCGCCCGGTCCCTTTAAAAGAATATTAAAACCTACAATTCCAGATCCGTCGACTTCGGCTTCTTCTCGTCTTCTTGTGCAGTTTCGTCGTCTCGGCTCGGCTTCTCCCCGTTTGATCCCGTCTCGAAATTATCTAAAGTTAGTCCGGGGAAGAGCCTTATAGCAACGACTAACCGCTAAAATTCATCCTTTCGCTTCGTTGTCGCCGTCGCCATCGTCGCCCTTGTCGAACCCGTCGTACTGCTTCTTTCTGAAATACCAAATATTAAAATAGCCAACATATAGGGGCTACCGTACCCAAAACTCCCCCATTTCCAGGCGTATTTTGTATTCCCCCGTAGCCACGCAGACAGCCGATTGCCCGGCTATCATTAATGCCTCTTGCCGCTGCCGTTGGCCCACTACGCGTTACACCTCATTACACTGCCTAAAAAAAGGTTCGAGCGCCTATAAAATCCTAAATTTCGTCTTTTTTTTCGCGCGTTTCTTCTTTCTCGATTAAAAGTGGCTGTTTTCTAGCAATTTATCGCTTAAAAATATATTTTCACCTCCGCTTTTTGAGTGCTACCATTAATGCGCTTTCGCGTCGCTACGGTAACCCGCCACGGCCAGTACGCACTACAACTATGGACGCTGATGCCTAAAAACGGCCCTACTGCTAATAATTTTCATATTTCGACATTTTTAAAACCGAAAACCCCCTGAATAAAAGTCATTTTCTTACCGCAAACACTTCAGAGTCGCTTTCGTCGCTCCCGCGCATCATCCTCCGCGTTGGCTGCCGCCGTCTCGAGCCGTCGCGGCCGGGGCGTCTTCACGTAGGTGGGTACTAAATTAGAGCTCGGGCCGAGAAGTGGCAATCAAATCGCTAACCTTTATATCACAGCAGCTCCTCGACCGCGTCGTCCTCGCGGGCCCCCGGAAGCGTCGCCGAGCCGTCCCGAGCAGAACCTGTAAAACCGAAATAAAGCAAAAATAAAGCATAAATAAGTGAAAAAAAGAGAAATCGCGATGAAAGCATCGAATCGCAATTGAAAAAAGGCAAAAATGGAGTAAAAAGTAGTAAAAAGGGAGCCGAAAGCTCAAAAAGCGGTTTTTGGTGTTTAAAAGTAAATTTTTGCCCGATTTAAATAGTGTAAAGTTAGAGCGTAGTTTTTACAATATAGATTGGGCAAATTTAAAAGGATTAATGGTCCAAAACGGCAGTTTTAAAAAAGGTTCAACATAAAGAAGGCGTAAACCATAAAAACCTAGTGGAACTGGAAAGCCTAAAACATTTTTTAACGAAAAAATCCAATTTTAAAACGCCGAAAATCGGGGAAATATAAATCCCAAAAACCTAGTGGAACTGGAAAATATAAGACATTTTTTGAAACCAAAAAATACAGTTTCAAAAAGCCGAAAATCGGGGGATAGTGAACCATAAAAACCTAGTGGAACTGGAAACTCTGAAACATTTTTTTAACGAAAAATACAATTTAAAAAGCCGAAAATCGGGGGATAGTGAACCATAAAAACCTAGTGGAACTGGAAACTCTGAAACATTTTTTTAACGAAAAATACAATTTAAAAAGCCGAAAATCGGGGGATAGTGAACCATAAAAACCTAGTGGAACTGGAAACTCTGAAACATTTTTTAACGAAAAAATACAATTTAAAAAGCCGAAAATCGGGGGATAGTGAACCATAAAAACCTAGTGGAACTGGAAACTCTGAAACATTTTTTAACGAAAAAATACAATTTAAAAAGCCGAAAATCGGGGGATAGTGAACCATAAAAACCTAGTGGAACTGGAAACTCTGAAACATTTTTTAACGAAAAAATACAATTTAAAAAGCCGAAAATCGGGGGAAGTGGAAGCCATAAAAATCGAATAAAACTGGAAAATATCATAGGTTTTTCGCGTTTTGACGGCATTTAAAGATAGAGGCTGTCGATTATAAAATAACACATCTTAACCCAAATATACACTTTAACAGGGCGAAAATTTCAGGCCAAGCCTGCCGCCGACCAAGCCGACCAAGCCAGACGTCGGTCCCTGGCCGACGACAAACTACGCTGTACTCTGCCTTCCTCCCCAACCCGCCCCTCTTCCCCCATTTCGCCGGCCTAAAAATATACCTAAAAATCGGAATAAAATGTGAAAACTAATGCCGAAAAAACGGAAACCTGTCTAAAAATGGTTCTATCGTGTTCTGTCATCGGTCCGCGCTTTGCCCCCTTAAATCCGGCCGCTAAAAAGGCAAAAAATTAAGTTTTTCCTTTTTTCCGATTTTTCAATTTTGCCTAAAATCCTTCTTTCGCCTCTGCCGCTCTTCCCAAAAGGTTTTAATAAATTTCCTACTCTCGTTTCCTTTTTCTATTCTCTTAATTGGGCGTTTCGCGGTTTCTTTCCCTTTTTTTACTTCTTTTAAGCCTTTTTTCAAATTAAGTTCAAATTCAAATTAATTTTTACTAATTTTAAATGTTGAAAGGCACTTTTTCCGGGCTCAGGGTCGCCACCAGCAGCTTTCATTCCTTTTTCTTTCATTCCCCTTTTTCTAAAATAACTTTTCTAAATATTCTAAATATTTTTTCATGCACTTTCCCGAGTTTTCAGCTTTCCGAGGACACATTTTCAGCAGTTCAACGAGACGTTCTTCGACCGCCGGGCTCCACGACGACTTCGATACGCCTCCTGCAGCAGAATGGCGGTTAGTGATTTGATTTTTACTTCGCCGCCCCAGCTTTAATTTAGTGTGGCGACGACGACGATGACGACGATGCTGATGTGACGATGGTGACGGCTGATGTGGCGGCACGAGAGGAGGGCACGGCGCGAACGACGACGTGATGGAGGGAAAGCTCGCGAAGCCTAGGTAATAAAATGGTTTTTATTGGGGGATTTCCGGTTTTAAAATGTTGAAATTGCAAAATGGCTAGATACGATACCTTTTATTCAGGGGGTTTTCGGTTTTAAAAATGTCGAAATATGAAAATTATTAGCAGTAGGGCCGTTTTTAGGCATCAGCGTCCATAGTTGTAGTGCGTACTGGCCGTGGCGGGTTACCGTAGCGACGCGAAAGCGCATTAATGGTAGCACTCAAAAAGCGGAGGTGAAAATATATTTTTAAGCGATAAATTGCTAGAAAACAGCCACTTTTAATCGAGAAAGAAGAAACGCGCGAAAAAAAAGACGAAATTTAGGATTTTATAGGCGCTCGAACCTTTTTTTAGGCAGTGTAATGAGGTGTAACGCGTAGTGGGCCAACGGCAGCGGCAAGAGGCATTAATGATAGCCGGGCAATCGGCTGTCTGCGTGGCTACGGGGGAATACAAAATACGCCTGGAAATGGGGGAGTTTTGGGTACGGTAGCCCCTATATGTTGGCTATTTTAATATTTGGTATTTCAGAAAGAAGCAGTACGACGGGTTCGACAAGGGCGACGATGGCGACGGCGACAACGAAGCGAAAGGATGAATTTTAGCGGTTAGTCGTTGCTATAAGGCTCTTCCCCGGACTAACTTTAGATAATTTCGAGACGGGATCAAACGGGGAGAAGCCGAGCCGAGACGACGAAACTGCACAAGAAGACGAGAAGAAGCCGAAGTCGACGGATCTGGAATTGTAGGTTTTAATATTCTTTTAAAGGGACCGGGCGGTCAGGTGGTGGATTTCCGCATTTTTTAATAAGTGATGAAACCTTTTTCTGCAGCGCGATTTGTGAAAAACTTAATAATTGATTTTTTTGGCTGAATAACACAATTTCAGGTGTCACGTCGAGAGCAAAAGGGACGAGAGAGACGGGAAGAGCGAGGGAGAAGGACAAACGAAGCTCACCGTGGCCCCGACCAGCTGCACGGCTTGGTGAAGTCGTTCTTCTACTGATTGGAGCGAGAATGGCGGTTAGTCGTCGATTGCTTTTTCTTCTCCGCCACTTTAGATATGACCGACGCCGAGATCGCAGAATAGGTATGCGCAGAATCGACGAGGAACGCCGCCGACGTCTCCAACAAGGTCAATCTGGACATCTATCGATCCCCATAAGATCGACACCGAGAAGTTTTTTTGGGCCAATCGATTTTTAAAGGCTTTTAAAATGTTTATAAACTGTATTTTTAATTTTTTGCAGATTTTTAAAAAAGTTGCAGATTTTCGCGTTTTTTGACAATTGATGAAACATACACTTTTGAAGCCGAAATTCAAAATTGACGATTTTCAAGGAGCGTTGAAGTATGGATCGGGGGAGAGCGGCAGAAGCTGAGCCGGAGCGATTTAAAGGAGCATATAAGCAGGTGTGTTTCCGGTTTTTAAAGGACCGCTGAAGGCTGTTGGCCCTTGGATTGGCCCTTGGATCCTGGCTTTGAATTATTGTATTATTTTCTCTTTTTCAGGTACCGTCCCCCAGCGGCCGGCTGAACGGCTCGAGCAGCTCGGAGGAGGAGCTGAACGACTACCGACGCCCGCCAAAACGCTAAAAAAATTTTTGAAGCGTTTAAAGTGACTTTATGTGTAATTAATTATTGTTTATGTTTTGTTGAATAAAGATATATTGATATTTATTGAATTTGTGTTTTTTATTCGCCACGTACCGACAGAGATACCTTGCAATGCGTGCTCAGAGAACTGTTTCTGGACAGAAATGATTGTATTTTGTAGCCATGCTCTCCGCGGCCCTATTCTTGTTCATTTTGCTGAGGGGTGGACAAGAGGTACTGTGGACGATTTGCGATTGGCAAGGGTGAATTTTAGGAGGTGATTTTCGGCATCAACAATGCGCTGGCAAGTATTCCAGAGGGAATTAAAGGAGAGAACAGCAAGTCGATCGAGGTACTGTAGACGATTTTAAAGGGATTAGCAAGTCTGAATTTTAGGTTGCCGTCGCTCTCCATCCCGATCCAGGCAGCTTGGAGGATTTAATACCTGTTCTGTCGCAGGAAATCGAGCTCGAAAAGGTACTGTACTTAAAGGGATAATAGCATTTTATTTTAGCCGGAAGTTAGCGTCGGTTGTCATGACATCGTCTCGGTGCAGACGCCGAAGAACGTCTATACGCGTCAGATGGTATGGATACTTTACGCTTATCGCTTTTTTAACATGTGCTCTGCAATTTGTATTGTTGCTTTAGTTCCTCGACGACGTTGAGAAAACCATCGCTTTCGCCCGGACGCAAGCAGTGTCTGAAGACGTATGGCTTTCGTTACTTTACGAGTATCCTGTTTCAGGTTTTGCGGGAATTTGAGTCTGCACTCCACATAGCGAAAAAACTAGGCACTTCCTCATATCTGGATGGACTGTGGATGTCTATGACAAGTCGCTACTCGTGGATCGATGTAAGTGCATTTCCTTAGCTTTCTCAAACAATTTCTCTCTCTCTCTCTCTCTCTCTCTCTCTCTCTCTCTCTCTCTCTCTCTCTCTCTCGCTCGCTCTCCCCACTCTCAATTTTCCGGCGTTCTAGTGGTGGGATCGTTATAACTTTTGGAGGTTTCAATTACTCAAAATTTCTTGAAATGTCAATTTTTGGTCACGCTTTGTCAATGATTTCTCAGTGAAAAGGTATTCAACGAATTTCAACGTCCGAAATGATTTTTTTGGAAACCCTGTAGAAAAAAAGTCAATCTCTGTTTAGGTAACCAAGGAAACGATCGTATGGAGCTGCCAGAAGGGTATTTGGGTTGCTCAATGGTTGATGCCTTCCCACTACTTCGTCATTATCCCGTTAGTGGGGCATACCGTACTCGTCATTCTCTTCACTTGTCTGAATCTCAGCGCCTTTGGCCTGATTCAGAGTGTTGCCGAAATCTTTCTCTGGATTGTACTTTGGGTGATTTTTTTGTTGTTTTCGTTGCGTGTCGTTATCCGACTTGTTCCGGTTAGGCAATGATTTCCCGGCGTTTTTAGTGAATTTTGGCGTGCTATAGATAATCTCTGTCTTTGTCAATTTCGATGCAATTTGTACACTCCCGCAGTCCCGGCCGTTGTAGTTTGTAGTCTAGCGATTTTTACGCGTTTGTGTAGCGTTTTTGAGCGATTTTTAGGCGTTTTTTTAGGTTTAAAAATTAAAAATGAGCGAAAGATTCAAAAATTAGTTTTTCTTGTACATTTAAAAATTCAAATTCAGCAACAATGCCGTAGCCCTTTTTCAGGGGGATTTTTTATGTATTTTTTAGCGTTTTTGGGTGATTTTAGCGTTTAAAAAGTCAAAGGATAGCGTTTTGATTTTTCTAGAAAATTACTGTGATTTGTAAAATTCTTTTAGAATTGGTTTTAATCGCAATAATCCGAAAAATCGCTTAAAGATCACGCCAAAAAACCGCTGTTTTGACATTTAATTTTTCTAAAAAAATGCGTAATTTTTGCTGATTTTTACGGGGTTTTGCCATTTTTTGTGCTCCTGCCACGCCCATTTTTCGTGGCTGCTATAGTGTAACATACGATTTTTTCGATTTTACGACGCATTTTTCGGATTTCAATTCATTTTCCACTTGTGACTTGAATATAATTGTGAATTTACTGGGTGTTCCTTTGTGATTTTATCCATCCCCGGAATGAGCTGTAATAAAGATCTCTAGCGTTTTGAAGTCGGAATTTCGCAAAGGGTCTCTGCTAACGCTCTTTTTTTCGGATTTCCGCACATTGTCTCTGCTTGATGATCCGGAAGTGCCAAAGATCTCTGCTAGCCTGCCTCAAATGGTATCTGCTGGTTTTCCTGGAAACTCGGCAAAAATCGATGCTAGCTCTAGCGCCCTGTCACGCTCCTTTTAGGGTTTCCCGCATAAAACCTCTGCTAGCCTGCCTCGAAATTCCACAAAGAATCTCTGTTGGCCGCCCTAAGGTTCGGGTTAATGGGGGAGGGGAAGCGTGTTTCATTTTTTTTGCCCAGGAATTCAGGCGTTTATGCAAAGTGATGAAGCATGGGGTAAGACAGGGCCGGGGTTGAAAAGTCGCAAAGCGTTATTTATTTATTTTTCTATTTTTTTCTTCTTTCTATTTCCATAAACCTATTTTTTCTTATTTTTTTTGAGGGATGCTGGCGGAGGACAAATTGACGCTGGGCGTCACAAAAGCGGATGGAGAAGGATAAAAGAGAAGGAGGAGGAGCAGGAGAAGGGCAAGGAATACTCTCCGCTCCATCTCCGATTTGCAGCTCAAAAAGGCCATGGCTTCCGTTCAGTTGAAGAAACAGGCCATGCAAGTGCGGGAATACGCGAACTGACACCAAGACTAGAAGCTACAATTTTCTATTATATTTATATTTATTTCTAGGCGAGAGACCAGGGTTCTACCCCCCGCTCGCGGCAAAACTTTTTATTTATTGAATTTGTGTCCCAAAATTTTGATGTAGATGTCTAAACTGGATCCTAGACTACAAACTATGTTCTTAGATTCAGGCCACGAACTATGATACAAAAAAAATTACAATTCGAACGACCCGGGTCGACTTCCGTCCGCGGCCCGGAAAATCGTTCGTTGTACGAACCCGATGCAGCCAAATTTTATGAAATGTTGCGGCTAGTTCAATTTTGCTACTGGCAATCCGGTCGCAATATCAAAAGCCGCGAAAAATAGAATTTTAATGCTCAAATTAGTTTCAAATTTCAAACTCAAATTTTAAAATATACTAAAATCACCTTTTTTCTGAGACATTTTTGGTTTTCAAAAATGTGTTCATCGCTTCGCGACTTGATGGCCGAATTTTTACCAAAAACTTAATTTTAATCTCGAAAACAACATATTTTACAAAATCTGATCTGCGTGCAGTCATCTCGAAGCCATTACGCATCTAATCACGTATCAAACACCTCCTTAAAGGGGCTCCGAAATCTGGTCCACGGCCCCCTGCTGGGATTCCTGGCAAATAGCCAGATGCGGCCGCAAAGCGACCGCGCTGCATCTACTTTTGCCCCTGTTTTTACGCGAAAACGCTTGAATTTCAAAATTCTGATACTATTTTTGGAATCCTCAACGAATTTTTATCATTCCAGACTTTTAAATTATGAAAATTGACCCGAGAATCACCGCGATCGAGAGATTGGGTGCCTTGCAAGGCATTACGACATGATATCGCCGCCCACTCAAAATGTCGTTTTTGCCCCAAAAAGAATTAGGTTTTTCTCAAACATTTTACGTTTTTTCGCAATCAAATAACTTTTTTAGCACTTCTCGGCAGTGACCCTTTCGTTTTTTGAACCGTAGGTTCAACCCCCCGCACGCACGAATTTTGACTTCTGAGCCCCTTTAAACCCATCCCCTCTTGAGATATCCTCCGGACACGCTGACGGAAGTTGCATGTAAAGTGGCGTTCAGACACAGAAGACACTAAGACACTATTTTTTATATATAACAGGATTAATATAAAAGTTATAGATAATAAAAAATAAATAATCACCCTGGTTTTTCACTTATTATCCGGGGCGGTTTGCGTTAGAAAAATGGCATTTCTGGGGGCAATGAAATGTTTGATCAAGACAAGCATTTCAGATACACGCAAACGGCGCCAAAAATCGAGCAGCCGAAGAGGAGCCCTTGCGGATCAGCGGTGACCATCCGTCTGCACAGCCATTGCAAATCACCTGCAATCGAAAAGCTAATTTTTATTTTTCCGCCTATTATTTTCCAGAAATTTTTGAAAATTTAATTTTTTGTGTTTTTGGCCATTTTTTATACATATTTGACCAAAAAAAATCAAAAAATTGCGAACATTTTTATGCTTTTTTTGTGAACCTCCTATATCTAAAAAATGTGGCTTACTATTTGCATGGTATACTTCATAGGGCCGTACCGATTTACTTTATATCTCCCCCGCATATTACGCTTTAGCCCATTTTTCAAACATAAAGAGTGGGACTTTCTCTAAATAGCTTTTACTATACCTAACAAAGAGTCGTTTCTAGGTGCTTTTGGAGTTTCTGGACACGATCTAGCTAGTTCGATAGAGAAAAAAAAATGCTGAGCCAGATCCCGTTTTCAAAAAGTGCTGATCGATAAAGTTGTTTTACAAAACTTAATTTAATTAAAGATCCCGGTATCCGGGCCCTTGTGGTGATTTGAGGTGATTTGCGACGGACGACCGCCCCTGTCAGATGGCGACTTCACGCGTCCTCGATCCCGTCCTAGGCATGGCCAAGTGACTAGTGCGTTGGCCTACGAAGTTTTTTGATCTTTTGCCACAAGTTCGATTCTTATATACCAGCCGATTACAGCCGCTTCGCGACTGTAATCGACTGGCCTTCGGGCTACCCTCCATATTCTACACCACCACATCCCTCGCCACTTTCATCAATACATATGCTGATGTTTTCAGCAACCCCTCATAGCCGAAATCCCCCTCAAAAATTACCTAAATACCTTTCCGATGGCTTTAGATACCCCCCATAGCCGAAATCCCCTTAAAAAACTACCTAAATACCTTTCCGATGGCTTTAGATACCCCCCATAGCCGAAATCTCCTTAAAAAACTACCTAAATACCTTTCCGATGGCTTTAGATACCCCCCATAGCCCAAATCCCTTAAAAACTACCTAAATACCTTTCCGATGGCTTTAGATACCCCCATAGCCGAAATCTCCTTAAAAACTACCTAAATACCTTTCCGATGGCTTTAGATACCCCCATAGCCGAAATCCCTTAAAAAACTACCTAAATACCTTTCCGATGGCTTTAGATACCCCCATAGCTGAAATCCCTTTAAAAACTACCTAAATACCTTTCCGATGGCTTTAGATACCCCCCATAGCTGAAATCCTTAAAAACTACCTAAATACCTTTCCGATGGCTTTAGATACCCCCATAGCCCAAATCCCCTTAAAAAACTACCTAAATACCTTTCCGTTGGCTTTAGATACCCCCCATAGCCGAAATCCCCTTAAAAAACTGAAATAACGACCGACCGGATACGTTGGAGAAAAAAGAAATGAAATGATCCGGTGAAAATTTTCATCCACGAAACGCGCGCGACCTGGCTCACTATGTCCAAAATCACCCCAACCTCCTCCCCCACCCCTTTTACTAAGGAAAAAACTTTCAAAGTTAATTTTAATAATTTAAACTAAAATTTTTTCATAATTTTTTTATCAGTTTGGGGGTTTCTGACCACGCTCTATCCGAATCCGAAGAGAGCTAAGCTCTAGCTCCTTTCCCCTTCGAGTTGAATCCGGGACCGGACACACACACACACACACACACACACACACACACACACACACACACACACACACAGACACCCCTACCTTTTTATTATAGTTGATCGTTAACTCTTTGCTTTTTTGCTAATTAAAATTTTATGCACCGATAACGGGTTTAAAAACCAAAAAGCAAAGGGTTGGCTAGCGCGAAGATTCGAACCCGTGTCCAAAATTTTTTTAAAAGTTCGTAGACAAGCGCGCCATGAATACACCAATGCAACCTGTGATAGGGGCCTTGGTGGAAGGCTATGACTGGCGCCTTGCTAGCCCCGAAAGCGACGTGAACCGAGGAAATGAACCCGAAAACTAGAAAAAAAGCGCGAACTTTAAATTAAATTTTCTAAAATTTCTTTATCGATCAGCAATTTTTGAAAACGGGAGGTTGCTCAGAATTTTTTTTCTCTATAGAACTAGCTAGGTCCCGTCCAGAAAGTCCAAAAGCACCTAAAAGTGACTCCTTGTAAGCGCAACAACTATGCAAAATATCTATGTAAAAAATGCGAAAAATCTCGATTTTTCGCGCACAAATGGTCAATTTTTGACCAAAATTTCGATGTTTTTTTTTTGAAAAAAGGTTCGGTTGCATCCTCCCCCGATAATGCGAAAGGATCAGTCTTGCCAATCTTGTCCATTAAATCTTGATCTTGCAATTTCAGGGCTTTCCTGGCCTCCGGGGTAGCTCCGGAAATGCAGCTAGTCCATCGGAAATGCGAGATTCTGAACCGTTCCTCTTTTTTACTTAGCAACTGGGATCTTTCGCATTATCCGGGGGGGGGATTTTCTTTTGTACAAGCTTAGTAACTTAATAACAAGTGTTTTGCTGAGGTTATGGTCAAAAATGACTATAGAATCAGAAAAACTATAACTAGCTGTGAAAAAGTCGGAATTTCGGTCAAAATTCGATCATTTTCGGGCAAAACAAAAATCGATATTTTGGGCGTGTTTTATCCGTAAAAATTTTGTATAGGAAGGAGCCTAGGAATAAATGCGAGATTTTGGTCCCAAGTCCAAGAAACGTACGAGAGATGCTGTCGAGGTATCCGGCGTGATGATCGGCCAAGTGGGCGCGAAGGCTGGCGGTTGATGGGGTGGGATGGCGAAGGCAGTGACAATCCTTGCCCCCCTGATGTTTATTCGGTGGTATCGGGGCGGCGATCAGCACTGGAAACGCCCGCATCGATTAGGCTAAACTTACGGGGCAAAACGCATCTAACTTCACCGCCAAATATCTGGGCTGGATTCTTTGGCCCTTATCGGGGGTACCGAGCTTTTTGTACAAGTCTAGAAATGTCTCGTAACCTGATAGAAAGTATCTTATGAGTGTTTTGGTAAGACTCTAGTCAACCCCCTCCCGTGAGCCCTAAAATTTCAGCGGTAAGTCACAAGAATGCGCCGAGTATCTCAAAATGTTGACCGTCGACGAATTACTATAAATAGTTGTTTTCTTGCACGTTTCGAGGGACAAGGAGTGTAAAACTCAAATATTTTTATTTTCCGCTATTTTTTTGACTCAAACGTATTGTAGGGTTGTTCTACAGCGCAAGAGCTACATTTTGGTACTATTGACAGCTCTGTACGACTAAAGATAGCCGAGATACGAAAACTCACCTTGGCCCAGCAGAAAATAGCTAAAGAAAGCCTATACTTATTTCAAACACCCAAAATCGCGACTAACACAGCGCCGCAGGCAAAAAATTTATCAAAGAGTGTTCGTTACGATAAAATTGGTGGGAAAAACCATAAAAAAGGCGCCGCAGGCGAAAAATTTTATAGACAACCAGGGTTGAAAAGCCGCTTCGCGACTTTTCAACCCTGGCCCCGTCTCGGACCCCATACTATTCTGCCCTTTGCATAATTGTCCTCCATTCAGAAGACAAAAAAAATGAAAAACAGCCCTTTCTGCCTCTTTATATAGGCGACGGCGCACTTCCGGTCTATGCTAATTATTCCTAACAAAAAGATTTTTACAAAAATCTAAATTTAACAGCGAAAATCGCTAATTTTTAAAAATCTGCTATGAGTGCAGTCATCCCTAGACCATTACGCACCTAATGACGTATCATACGCAGCCTAATACCCGTCCCTTCTTGAGATATCCTCCGGACAGACAGACGGAAGTGGATGCAAAGTGGCACACACACACACACATTTTTTTATATATAGTAGGATTGATGCATTAATGAAAACCCAGCGCCGCAGACCAAAAATTTATCTCATCATCATGCATCATCATGTTTTGATGTTAATGATGTATGTTAATTGATGCAAAGTCCAAAAAGATAGCCGAAAAATGAAGCTAAAGTGTGGGAAAAACAGTATTTTTAAAATAACTCGAAAACTCGTGTACCGATCGGGCTGAAAGTTTCTGTGAACATTTTGAATTCCCTTCCGCACCTCTGTGTAAAATTTCAAGTCGGTCGGATTTGAAATAGCAAAATGCCAGCGTGACCTTTTTTATTGGGACACCCTGTATATAAAAAATAGTGTCTGTGTGTCTGTGTGTGTGTGCCACTTTGCATGCAACTTCCGTCACCATGTCCGGAGGATAACTCGATAGGGGATGAATTTTATGGCACGTTTGTTACGTCATTAGGTGCGTAATGGCTCTGGGATGACTGCACGCTTATCAGATTTTATAAAATAAGCTATGTTCAAAATTAAATTTAAGTTTTTGTAAAATTTTCGGTAACCCTCTTTGTTAGGAAAAATCAGCATAAACCGGAAGCGGCAAAAGCCTATATAATCAGCTAGAGAGCGTCATTTTTCATTTTTCTCATCGAAGTTCGAGAGACGAATGCAGAGTGAGGAAATATTCAGGGGGTTAGACGGGGCCAAGGTTGAAAAGTCTCGAAGCGGCTTTTCAACCCTGGTATTTTCATAAAATGTTTAATAGTTGTCACGTTCAAGAATAGGAAAAAACCATATATTCACAATTCCGCTATATATTTCGAAAACTTAGTGCCTAAGAATACGGTTGGTTCCCCCTCTCCCCTCCCGATAATGCAAGAGAACCCAGTCTTTTTGCGAGATACCCTGTATAAACCCTGACAAAATAACTGACTGGAGATACAGAGCAGTACAAAGCCGCAGGCAACAAACATCACGATTTCCCATGTGGGAATGTGTAGCGGAAAGGGTTGTTGACGGTAGAATTTTTTCAGCTTCCACCGCGACGCCCCTTTTGGAGGGCAAAACTGTAAAAAAAATTTCTGAACAACCACGTTTTGCAATATAAATAGCGCAAGTGTTTCTAACTAAGTTTTTACTATTCCTAAAGGACAAAACTTTACAAAATTTTACTAAAACCATACGGAAAATATCGATTTTTCGTGAGAAAATGGCTTTTTTGAGCAAAATTTCGACTTTTTGACAATGTTTCGGAGTTTTTAGATTGTTTTTCGAGTTCAAATATAGTGTTATTTACGAAGAACATTTTGAAAATACTTCCCATCAAGGGACTGGGCATTTCTAGATTAATACAAAAAAATTTCTCTCCCCCCCCGTGTATTATGCAAAAGAACCGTGTATCTGGCCGGTTGTCAGTAGACTGACCTCAGAGATGGATCCAGTCGTTTTGAGAAGGAGAAGGATGAGGGGATGGAGAATGAGAGGGATCGCCAAATGGCTTAGGTGATAGACGGCTCTCACAGCCTCTTGACGGATGCCGTAACAAATCGCCTGAAAATCTTTAAATCTTCTCTCTCAAGCTTTCACTCTATCTTTCCCTCTCTCTCTCTCTCTCTCACTCTCGCACTTTCTCTCTCTCTCTAACCTGATGTCTGCAGATGTAGGTGTTTTGCATCAGTTGCTCACGATATAAGAAACGTCTCAGAGGGCCGTGGCAAAGTGACCTAAAACTAAAGAATGAAAGAGCGAGAGAGAGAGAGAGAGAGAGAGAGGGAGAGTGAGAGAGACATACCACCATCTTTTCGGTATCCACTCTATATCAATCGATTGCATCAATCGTCGGGGTCCAACAGAATCTGACCGCCGCTTTTTCCGTTCCATTCTTTTTGGTTTCTTCTTCGTGATGTCATCCTAGCAGAAATCATTTGCCCTCATATCCCTTTCAAAACCTACAATTCGTGGAAGAGACAGTGAATGGCTTCGTGTCGTCGTCATTTTTCAAGATTCCTGGCTGCATCGAATTAAAAGTTGTAGTCTGTAGTCTGGGTCTCAATTTACCTATTGCAATCAAAGGATCAGCAAAAATCAACGTGGGAGGCCGTGTGTGTGGAAGAAATGGCGGGATCCCGCCCGAGCCAAAGCTGGGTCATGTAGCAGCTGCCCCCCTCCCTCAGGGCATCTGGCCTGCCTAATGTGGCATATAACCATCCGAGACCCCGGCCGACATTAATCCCACCCCATTGATGCCCGCCAAAAATAGAAATCCTGCCCGAAATATCGTGGAAAATGACGACGACACGAAGCCGTTGAGTGTCTCTGCCACGAAATGTAGGTTATAATATTAAATCATATTAAATGATCTTTGCTAGGTTGCCCTCAAGAAGAAAAAAAAACAAAAAGGGTTCTGTTCTATTTCGCGTGGGGGAAAAAACTGTGCGGGGAGGGGGGGAAATATGCTTCGCGGAACCTTCCATCTTTTCGCTATTTTCTCGGGATTTTTGCAACGCCATTCGATAGAGCAGCAAAAAATATACTAAGAGTTTTTGTTTTAGCTAAAAATATTGTAATATAAAAAAGTTATAGCAAAAACAAAAAAAACTATTGAAACTGGTTCCGGAATGTTAGTTTTCGGCATTTTCGCCAGTTTTTCGATATTTTGAACCCGTCATTCGATAGAGCATCAAAAAATATACTGAGAGTTTTAATTTCATCTTAAAATATTGTTTTATAAAATCGTTATAGCAAAAACAAGGTTTATTCGGTGTTTCCACATGGCATCGTGGAGTCGAAAGCTAGTTTTCGACATTTTCGATAACTCAAAAATTTCTTTAATGCCATTCGATAGAGCGTGAAAAAATATACTAAGAGTTTTAATTACAATTCAAAATAGCATCATATAAAAGAGTTATAAAAAAACGAATGAAATTTCCCCCCGCACAGTTTTTTCCCCCACGCGAAATAGAACAGAACCACAAAAAGAATGAAACAGAAAAAACGGCGGCCAGATTCTGTTGGACCTCGACGGAAATCGATCGAAATACAGTGGATACCAAAAATCTCTCTCTCTCTCTCTCACTCTCTCTCTCTCTCTTTCTCCATACGAAATGCGGCACCATACGCCACTAACGAGCCAATAACAGCACATAGCACAATTTATCCCAATAAATAGGTGAAACATCGAAATTACAAAAATCAAGTTCAAAATCATAAAATGGTGCATTCCTCCCTGTCGTTCCGGGGTTTTTGCCCGGATTTTTCTCTGGTGTACCGCAATCTTGGGGTGATCGCCGGGCCCGTGAGTGCCGTCTAAATTTATTAAATGTAGTTTTCGAGCCGAATTTGGTAAGGGTTTACTTTACCCCCCCACACAGCCGAAGGGTCTCAAAGTTTTCAGTATTTTCGCTTATTTTGTCGGGATTATTGCAACGCCATTCGATAGAGCGTCGAAAAATATACTGATAGTTTGAATTTGGGCCTACAATAATGTAAAATAGAAAAGTTATAGCCAACTTCCGGCTGGGGGGTAAAGTAAACCGTAGCCCCGAATTTGTCTGAAGAACTCAGATTTAATAATTCTTTTAAATCTCTATTCTTTTAATGACATAGCTAAAATAGATTAAAAACACCGAAAAACTAGAGATGTTACGAAACAAGTAATATAATCCTACTATATATAAAAAATAGTGTCTGTGTGTGTGTGTCCGTGCCACTTTGCATGCAACTTCCGTCAGCGTGTTCCAGTAGTATCTCAAGAAGGGGGGTAGCTAGGGTTATGTTACGTCATTAGGTGCGTAATGGCCTTGGGATGACTGCACACTAACAACATTTTCAAAAATTAGCTGTTTTCGACGTTAAATTAAGTTTTTGTTGAAACATCCAGGACCCTCTTTGTTAGGAAACAATTAGCATAGACCGGAAGTCACGGTAGCCTATATAAGGGAAGAGAGGTAGCGTTTCTCATTTTTTGTCATCAAAAATCGCGAGAATTATGCAAAGTGCAGAACATCATGGGATCAGACGGGGCCAGGGTTGAAAAGTCGCGAAGCGGCTTTTCAACGCTGGTGAAATACCTATTAATATTAATAATTAATAATTAATAATGAAATATTAATAAATACCTATTAATATTAATAATATATAAAATCTCCAAATAAAATAATATTGTGCCACTGTATGCAAATAATCTTCATTGTTAATTGATTCTTAACATCTCGACGAAAAACACAGCTCAAAACAATTCGGGTTCCCAAGAGGACCCTGTCATGCGAGAACTTGCACACAATATTTTATCCGATTTGCGCTTGCTCTGCACTGAAGGTAAAAGATTCAAATTATTCTTCGGGGTTTCCGTTTCTTTAGCAATTTACTAAAATTTTTACCAAATTTTGGCCTTAAATTAAAATAATAAAATTGAGGTTATTAAGTTAAATAATTAAATTAAATAATTTTACTAAAAATAATAGACCCACCAGGGCTGAAAAACCGCTTCGCGGCTTTAACCCTGGCCCCGTCTAGGATTTATGAAAATTTGCATAATTCTTGCCGAAAAACGATGACCAAAAAATGAAAACCACGCCCTCCCTTCCTTTTTCCACTTCCGGCGTATGCTAATTTCTTCCTAACAAAGAGGGAAGCCAAGATTTTTACAAAAACCTAATTTTAATAGCGAAAATAGCAATTTTTCGAAGATTTTATGTGTGTGCAGTCGATTCCAGCTCCTTCTTTACCCTATAACGTTTCTTCCCTACCGAAAAAATGCTTCCCTGAACCTGTAGGTGCGGAACATCCAAACGGAAATGCGGAAACACACACACAAACACTATTTTTTTATATATAGTAGGATAGCCTCTCGTCAGTTCTTTGAAAGTTTTAAGTTTTAAGGAAACTATTCTTGTTAAGATGGTGCACAAACTTTGATGGTGAATTGACTCAAAATACATACCTTACTGCCATAAGTCGGGTGTGAAACGCGTTTCTTTTCGAGTGGCCGCACGAGCTGAGGTTTTGCCCGGGTCTCCTGGAAAATGATGTTTTATCGAAGCATAATGTTTTGAAATTTCGTTGTATATTAATAAATGCAGAATAAATGCGGATCAATTAATTAAATAATCTAATGAAAAATTATCCCATCAAAAATTCCCATTTTATTCTTACCAACTTCTCCGGCGGTGTCCTGGCCGCATCGACTGTACACGCGACGCTGCTGCGACGTGGCTCCGTAGACTCGCAGTCAGAACTGCAAAACTCACAGGTTCATTTAGTTTAAAACCAATATTTATTTAAGTACTTTGCTTAGCCTGAATTCTTGTAAAAATCCCTGCGTTTCCGCTAAAGTTTTAGAAATGTGAGTTGCATAAAAATAACTAACATCGGCTTATCACGGCGGTTTTTAATCGTTGTTTCGAATCAATCTTTTTTCATCTTTTTTTTTATATTTTTCCTTTATTAGTTTTCGAGATTTTTCGAACTTTGCGAAACCCTGGCTATTAGGCATGATTGTGCTTTTGCGGTTTCTTAAAAACTTGAAGCATCTTTTTTACATGGTAATTCAAATCAATTTTGACGCGAAATCAATGATGCTCCCATTAGCACCCAAAAAATGAAACTAACTAAAATCATTCTGGCCCCATAAGTCTGTTTTTAGTTAATTTATTAATGTTTTGAAGAATTTTTAAATGTTTGGATATTCACTAAAAGGGCGTTATTAAACAGAATTCGGATAAAAATAATAATTGATAAATAGTTGAAGCATTTTTTGGGCTGATCAAAAGTCAAAGCCAATGAAATCCCACCAGTTTTCTTCCATGGGCCTTCCAAGAAAATTTATACTAATTAAAATCGAAGCAGCTAGGGAGATTCTAGGTTTTACGTTATATATTTTTCGTTTTTCAACCAATTATTAATGTTTTGTAGACTCGGGAAATTTTAGACATTTTATGCTCGGCGCTAACTCTGTTAAAAAAAATTACGTTTTCGCATTTTAGTAAAGAGTGGAAACATTTGTTCCGGCTGCTTTCAGTCGAAACCTCAATTGAATTCCGTTAAATTCCGATAAATTTTCCACGGATCCAAGCAAATTTAAACGAATAAAAATGGAAATAGCTCGAAAAGTTTCTAAATTGTTACCTAGAGTTTTTAATTATTATTAAAGTTTTGAAGACCTTTTGAAATTTGGAACTATGGCCGAATTGAGGCTCATTGACCGGAATTCGGATTTAGGAGTTTCGTGAATATCTGAATCATTTCTTTTTGCAGGCTAATTCCAGGCGAAATCCCGTGGAATTCCATTAAATTACGGCGAATTTTTACATAGATGGGTTCTCCAAAAAAACCTAGACCAGTCGCGTGATGGAAAAACCTGATTTTTTTGAACCCTTATAAGATTTTGAATCATTTCTTTTTCAGCCTAGCATCACTCTAAATCTTAAACCGGACTTTCCCCTCCCCTTTTCTATTTCTTATCACCATGTTGTCACGTCCAATTTTTGCCCACCCTAAGCCCTCAATGGAACACGCGCTTTTTAGGGGGGTGCGGCAAGGGGAGGGTGGCTTATCTAATTGCTCCCGGAAAATGGGCTATTTTTAGAGCATCCCAGAAATGTCGACGAATTGGCCGGTGTCTCGGTATTCCGAAAATTGCTGTAAATTTTGAACCGAAAATGCAGAATGAGATAGTAAAGATACTACTGATTTGTATAAAACAAGATAATTTGACAGTCAGATTCATTCCAGTCCGTGAAGCTACAAATTACGACATGTTAGAATGTTATTAAATTAAATTATTAAACTAAAAACTAAATTTTATTAAAGGCACTAATAAGACAAACGGCAACATTATATATTTCCGTGGCAAATCTACGGATGGCATCGGCAATATATAAAATCGTGCAGGTTGCCTTATCCGTCCCTTCAAGAAGATTTCCTTTTTTTATTTAATCAATTAATTTAATAACGTGCTAACTTTTCGTAATTTGTAATTTAACGGGCTGTCGGCGCCTGAAAAGACTGTTTCTAGGAGTGTCAGATGCGACGCGCACTAATCTGGGTTCCGAACTACTTGAACACAAACATGTGCAAAACACACTTTTTCTCAACATACATTTCGAGTATGAAATCAACAAAAAAATTTTCCTTTAGAATTTTCTTTTTTTCATACGACATCCAAAGCCATGCTTTTTACTTCCCTTTAAAATAAAATATTTGAACGGCAGAACCGCGCAGCCACTATTCTCTACTCTGACCTTCTTGAATACAAAAATACGTAAAACAGACTTTTCTAAAAGTTTTTCGGGCATCAAATCAACAAAAAGCACTTTTTCCATTCCCATTTCTATCTTTTTTTTTCAGTCATGTTTTCATTTTCTTTTTTCATACTAGAAAAACTGTTCTTTGCGGGATTGGAAAGGCAAAAAATGCAGAGACACTGTCTCAGATTGATCAATTTCGCCCCGGGAAATGAATGGCTATTTTGGGATCGTTAAATTGGGAGGTAGGAATGTTGCGGAAAAGATGAGAAGGCAAGGTGTCGCATCGAAAATGTCTGGTTTTTATAAGGATCGGCGGGAAAAATAGTGATTTTTGGAAAGGACGACAATTCAATTGATCCAATTAAATGGCGCGTTGCGTATCGCGAAGCGCAAGGCTCCTTGTCGATCCCTTTAAAATCAATACTTTTAAGACAGAGACAGGTCACGCAGTATTCGGTGCTCCGACCTTTTTGAGTGCAAAAATACGTGAAACAGACTTTTTCGAAAGACATGAAATCAAAAAGGCTTTTTTTCATTTTACTTTTTTTGTGTAATTTTTCGTTTATTCTCGACGCAGAGCGGAATAACTGTTCTTTGCCGGGATTGAAATGCAAAAAAAATGCAGATTCCCTCTCTCAAAGAGCCAATTTCCCTGGGAAGTGAATGGCTATTTTGGGGATCGTTAAATTTGGGCGGTAGGAACGTTGCGGAATCGTTTAGAAGGCAAAGTTCTACCCTAAAAATGCCTAAAATTAATAATTTTTATGAAGGGTTGGCAGAAAAATTAGGGATTCGGGAATGACAGCAAAGCAAAAATCGGGGCGGATAAAAACCCAACACACCTTTTGAAAAAAATCGGTTTTTCAATGATTTAGTGGTGAAAGTTCAAAGGAACGCGCATTATTTCTGTTCCGACCATCTTGACTACAAAAATGCGTGAAACAAATAGTTTTTAAGCGTAATTTTCCAAGATAAAATCAACAAAAAGCTTTTTTTCCATGCCATTTTTTATTGGCTATTCTGGGGAAAGGTTATATGGCTATTTCGGGGGCCGTCAAATTGGGAGGTGGAATGTGGCGGAAAGATTAGAAGGCAAAGTTCTACTTCAAAATGCCCAAAGTACCGGTTTTTAAAGTACTAGCAGAAAAATTTATAGGTTTCGAGATTCGAGTAGAAAATCCAGTATGGCTAAATGTGATTTTGCGAAAAATGAGTGTTTCAATGAATTTTTGGCATCAGCCAGAATTCTGGAGAATAATGGAAGAGCGATTTCACATTTAGCATCAGAATTGCTAACAATAAGCCCGCGACACGCGACGCACACGTCTTTAATAGCCGTAGCATCATATTAATGGGCGAAAGCGTTGCGTATCGCGACGCGAAAAACCTATAGCCAGCTATATCCATGCCATGTAAGTCCCTTTAAGGTTAGTAATTTTAGGAATCGAAAGACGTCCTTCACTATTCTGCGTTCTGAACTTTTTGATACAAAAATACGCGAAACAGACTTTTTCTAAACTTACATTTCGAAAATAAAATCAACAAAAAAGAATATATTCCATTCTACTTTTATGTCTTTTTGTAGCTTTCTTTCATGAAAAGTCAAGCTCACAGCAAAGTGTTTTTGGTCAGGATGGAAATTCCGTTCCGGACCAAGCCTTTCTTGTGCAGAATTTTTCGCTGTTTCCGAGTCCGATCTCCAAATCTGCAGAATAGTTCTGAGTCAAAATTTATGACGGTTTTAAGACCATTTTAAGCAAAAATTGGAGAATTTCATGCTCGATTATTTTGATAGTTGATAGTTATTCTGTAGATTTGAAAATCGTATTATTCGGGATCAGCGAAAAATTCTGCACAAGATAGGCTTGGTCCCGAACCGAATTTCCATCCTGAGCAAAAAATACTTTACTGTCAGCGGATAAGCGCACGACACCAGCAACCTGCGCAAGGTATCTGACTGTAATAAAAAATGAAACACGTTTTTTTCAAAAAATAAAGAGCATTTTGCGTAAAAGTCGATAAGGATGTATCAGCTGAGAGACAATATCAACGAAAAATCTTTTAAAGTGTTAATGGCAAAAAATTCTAGACAACAAAAAAATGCGAACACTTACGGTCCGTTCGCCTGGAGTAACACCCCAGTCGACACGTGGCGTATTCGAGGCTTCTCCGGAATTGTCGAAATATTTGAAGAGGTTGACGTCGAGGCTGAGGGTGCCTGGAAAAATGGAATAATTCTTTTCAATTGGACCGCAGGATTTAGCATGCTAGCAGGGGCAAACCAGCAGCGATTCCTGGTACATAGTGCGGCCTAAAGAGCTATAATATTCATTATCTTAATTTTCAGTTATTTAGCTATTTCGGTGAAACACAATTTTTCCCCCAGACTTTTGTTCATTTTCCGAAGCAACAAAAACGGATTGTGTAAATGTAACTTGATATTTCTCGATTTTAGCAAGCCATCCTTGTCCTCAAAAGGGGTATGTGATACCACAAAGTTAAATAGAGCCGGCTAGTAGGGATTCTTTCGGAAAAGCAGAGTAGAGCCAGGAGAATACCTTAATAGCTTAACAAAATCTGCAGCCCCCTCGTGATTAGTTGCAACACGTTTTTTAAGGAAATTTCTTGCCCCATCTCCGGGCCAGTGATTCATTTTTTGAGGGTTTCAAGGCGATAAAGAGACGGTTTGCACAATATGGCTTGAAATGTCGCAATTCTAGGGCATAAAATCTCGCGCCTTGCATTTAATTGAAAATTTAAATAAATCCTGATTTTGACATCCAAAAATCTACGTTACGCATACGGGATAAAACCTTAAAAATAGGTAAATAACGATGCAGTATTTTTCGGTTAAACTTTATTTCTAAAAAAACGGCTCAACTTTACGGGGCTCCCTAACCGATAAAAATCAGAGATTAAACAACTGGTTACCAAAATTTTTAAACCTGACGAAAAAAAAATGTTTCAGGTCTAATTAACAATAAAAGTTAATGCCCAGTCTAATTCCATTCGACCGACCACTGTGATAAATAGTTTTAGATAGAACGCATTTTTCCCTGAGCTTCGGCCTCAAAATGGGACAGAATAAAACAAAAATTAAATGGAGCTGAGTAATAGCAGGATTCCTTCCGAAAAGCAACGGAAAACGAACAGAGACAATTGCTTATCGGAACCTGCAGCCCTCGAGGCTATTCGATGCAACACGTTTTTTTTTAATGAAATTGCTTGCCCACTTCCGAGCCGGTGACTCATTTTTTCGAGGATCCCGGCGCCATAAAAAGACGGCATGCACAATCTTATGAGTTCATGATTTCATGCTTCTAGGGCGTAAAATGACGCGCCATGAATGTAAATTAAAGTTAAAATAAATCCTTATTTGATAGCCAAAATATATACTTTACGGAAACCGGATCCAGCCTTATAAATAGGTATATAACAATGAAGACTAAAAATTTATGCTAACCGTGATTCTTCGGGAAAAATTAGCAAAGCATTGAAAAGAGGCACGATTGAATAGTTTAACTATCATTTTTCACGTTTTAATCTGAAACAGTTTTTTCTGAAAAATTTTCGTGCTATTTCTTGAATCAGGGAGCAAATGGCCTATCTTGCCGTTGCCTCCGGATATCAAAAAATAACTCCACAACAGATTGCCAAAAATTTTCAAAAACCGTTAAAAAACAATGTTTCAAAACCAAGACAAAATAAAAAAATTTTAATGCTCCCAATTAGAGCCCAATACGTTTCAGACCTCAAAATTTATTAAAAAGCAATTTAATTACCTCAACTGCCAGCTGTTCCTCTTGTCTCTCACTCATCCGCCTATCCCTCTGCGCCTTCCGCTTCAGCATCTCGGCCCGTTTCCCGACGTAATAAGTCTCCGAGCGGAAGCGGGCTGATGATGGGTCGACCGCATCAATCATCTTTACGCTGAAAATACCTATTTTTGGAGCATTAATACTATTTAATTTATTGTGCTACAGAAATAAACAAATGTCGTATCAGAAGCTATTAACGGAACCAACCCCTCTTAATTGCCACAAATCCGTGAAACGTTAATTTTTTACAAAATACATACAGCCAAAGAATCAGAAACTAGATTTCAACATCAACACTTAAAGAGGTTAACAATGGCGTTTATTAGCTCAATTAAACCCACCCAAATCTACAACTTTCAACCGGTTAAGTTTTAAAACGCAAGACTGCTAAAACGCACACATCTTAAAACCAGTGGAAAAAGACCGCTTCGCGGCCCTTTTCCACTGGACCCCGTCCAGGAACCATCAATTTAAATACCTTCTTTTTCGGCCTGCGCATGAACCTGAGTCAAGGAGCCATTCTTTGGCCTGCGGCGCAAGAGCCAGCGTTGCTCTAGAATCCTTGAGCCTGCGGCGCTAGTTACTGGTTTCTCTCCCGGAATCTGGCCTGCGGCGCGAGAGCCTGGGTCCAGGACCCATCCTTGGCCTGCGGCGCGGGAGCCTACGTCCAGGACCCATCCTTGGCCTGCGGCGCGGGAGCCTGCGTCCAGGACCCATCCTTGGCCTGTGGCGCGAGAGCCTGGGTCCAGAACCCATCCGTGGCCTGCGGCGCGAGAGCCTGGGTCAAGGACCTTTTCTTTGGCCTGCGGCGCTACAGCGAGAGCCAGGCCTAAACCGCGCGCACCGTGAGCCTACATATAAGTTTTGTTGCTGAACTACCAAAAAGCAAAAAATTAAATTGGCCGAGGATCCGAACCCACGAGCGTGCGCGCGGTAGACCCCCCCCCCCCCCCCCCCCATTCCACTACACCGCAGGACAGATGGGAACGGGGGCGGCAAAGGCCTCTTCTGTCCTGGGGGCGGGTCCGCCCAGGGCAGCGGTAAAGAAATGCGAGCTGGGAGGGATGCTTTCTGGTCACTGTGCAAATTCGCTTTTTTAGTCTGAAATTGCCAAAATTTGTCAAAATAATAAGATGCGCGTGATCCCCACTATCGATTACATAAGTGCCCGAAATTACAGCCCGAAATTCCATCCGGGCTTCGAGTTATGGCCCGGACACCATGGCACTTTGGCCATTTTGTTAAGGAATTCGCAGAAAAATGTTCATAAAAGCCTTATTTTAAAGAATTAACGAAAATCCAAAAAATGGTATCGAGATATTTTCATTATGCATCAATCCACCAAAAATCAGCGTCTAACTCGTTCTGGCAATCGAGATAGCCTCTGAACAAACCTTTTTTCGACCAAAATGTTAAGGATTTTTTAGTATTTCGCTTGTAAAATCGTTAAATGAAGGAATTTCAAAAAACAAAAAAAACCTTATAAAGGGGATGTATTTCTCCACCTCCATGCCAAAAATCACCCTGAAATTCGGCCTGACGGCCGAGAAATCGTCTGCACAGAAAACAAACATACTTTTCTCGCTTATAGGATAGGATATCTAACCCTGTTAAAGTACGGCTCCCCGACATTTGCGCCCCGATCATTTGCGCCCCGACGATTGCGCCCACGACAGTTGCGCCCGGCAGTTTACTATGGAATCGGGGCGCAAGTGTCGGGGCGCAAATGGTCGGGGCGCAAATTTCGTGGCACCTAAATTACACCCTCAAAAACCGCCATTAAATTTGATTTGGTCATAAAAATCGGATAAAAAGGCGAATATTAAACTAAAAATTAACTATTTCAATTGAAACACTAATATTTGATTGATCCATTATGTTCAATGAATTCGAAGGCAAGAAGGACAAGATGACATCTAGTTAATGACTCCGAGTTCGAGCCAGCAAACTGCCAAAATTTTGAAACTTTGATTTTTGAAACTGCACGCTTCGCCCCCGCTGGAAAATCACGCATTGTATTTTGGCAAGCGGTTCTTTAGGATTTCCGGGGAACCAATTTTTTTCGGCCCAAGCCTAAATTTTTTTTCTAAATAGCGCATGCGTTTCTAAATGGTTTTTAACTATTCCTGAGCATAAAAACTACCCACATTTTAATTAAAAATTTAATTTTAGGTCGAAAAATCCTATAGAACCTTTAGGATTAGCGGGGGGGGAAAGACCCAAAATGACCAATTTTCGACTTTTTCAAACATTTTTCTAACTTTTTTGACAGGTTTTTCTACTTTAAATATAGTTAAAATTTACTAAAAACAATGTGAAAACACTTTATATTTGATTGCTAGGTCAACCGGGAAAACCAGGAAAAAATTTGGTTTCCCCGGAAATACTTCCCCGAAATCCTAAAGAACCTGGCAAGCAATTAAATTTAGATAGGTGAAAAGTACGGAGGTACGTAGGCAAATTCAAATGAAAACCTACTCAACTTCTCCTTTTACACATACCATAAAAATCTGTTGGTCAAGAAAATCGGATAATCCAACGATGGTACACGTAATGCTTCAGAATAATCCCCGAGAAAGCTCCAAATTTATGAAACTTCATTTTTTTCGAAACTGCCCGGGCAAAGCGAGCTAAGAAAACTGCAGTTTCAAGTATAAACATTTTTCATACTTTACTTTACAATTTCAAGCTAAATAACAAATGTTAATTGATAAACACATAATTTAAAGGGAAAAACCTGGATCTGAAACATTGAATACCTAACCCTTTTCGGTACATAGGTTGAAATCAAACGCGAAACCCGGCTTTTTGATAAAGTCCAAAACAATATTAAAAATGTTGTGTTTTTGTTGTTGTAAAATGTAACATTGGCTGCTTTAAAAAATTTGCGTTCTGCAAAAAATGCACACTAATTTCGAAATCACAATCTATTGGAAATTAGTTTTTATGATGCAACAGCAGCCATGCTGGGTGAAAACACGGTTCAAAAAGTTGATTGGGGAGGAGGAGAGGGGAGGGGGAGGGAGGCGGCGGGTGTGAGCGGAGGAGTGAATCGGAATATCACCCGCCAACCGGAAGATAATAGGAAATGCCAATTTTGGGAGCCACAAAGAGATAAGCGCCCCCCAAAAAAGGAGGTGGCTTCAAGTAGCCGGCGCGGAACACGCGGTTTTTTGGTCAGGGCAGGCGAACAGGGATTATTTGGGGAAAGAATGAGGGGGCAAGTCTCTCTCTCTCCGTGTCTCCCTGCCTCTCTCTCTCTCTCTCTCTCTCTCTCTCTCTCTCTCTCTCTCTCTCTCTTTCTCCCAGTATCTCTCTCTTCGCTATCGCCTCGCTCTGTCTCTCTCTCTCTCTCTCTCTCTCTCTCTCTCTCTCTCTCTCTCTCTCTCTCTCTCTCTCTCTCTCTCTTTCTCTCTTTCTCTCAGTATCTCTCTCTTCGCTCTCGCCTCGCTCTGTCTCTCTCTCTCTCTCCGTGTCTCCCTGCCTCTCTCTCTCTCTCTCTCTCTCTCTCTCTCTCTCTCTCTCTCTCTCTCTCTCTCTCTCTCTCTCTCTCTTTTCTCTTTCTCTCAGTATCTCTCTCTTCGCTCTCGCCTCGCTCTGTCTCTCTCTCTCTCTCCGTGTCTCCCTGCCTCCTCTCTCTCTCTATCTCTCTCTCTCTCTCTCTCTCTCTCTCTCTCTCTCTCTCTCTCTCTCTCTCTCTCTCTCTCTCTCTCTCTCTCTCTCTCTCTCTTTCTCCCAGTATCTCTCTCTTCGCTCTCGCCTCGCTCTGCTCTCTCTCTCTCTCTCTCTCTCTCTCTCTCTCTCTCTTTCTCTCTTTCTCTCAGTATCTCTCTCTCTTCGCTCTCGCCTCGCTCTGTCTCTCTCTCTCTCTCCGTGTCTCCCTGCCTCTCTCTCTCTCTCTCTCTCTCTCTCTCTCTCTCTCTCTCTCTCTTTCTCTCTTTCTCTCAGTATCTCTCTCTTCGCTCTCGCCTCGCTCTGTCTCTCTCTCTCTCTCCGTGTCTCCCTGCCTCTCTCTCTCTCTCTCTCTCTCTCTCTCTCTCTCTCTCTCTCTCTCTCTCTCTCTCTCTCTCTCTCTTTCTCTCTGTATCTCTCGCTCCTCTCTCTCTCTCTCTCTCGCTCTCTCTCTGTCTCTCTGTCTCTCTCGCTCTCTCTCTGTCTCTCTGTCTCTCTGCCTGATGGGTAAGTTTTTTCTTTGGTAGAACCTATTTCAATAAAAACCTCGGGAAATCAATTTTTATATTGATTTTTTTTGTTGGTTTTATCAACTGAAGCTGTCTTTCTCGCAATAATTGTGCCAAGTATTTTTTTACCGGAACCTTTTAGACTTGAAACTTGAATTTTCTGACTCGGTTCAGAAAATTCAAACTCAAGCCATTCCACATTGACCCCCGACGGCACGTTCTCCTCCATATTAATGGTGAAACATTTTTCACACCTGTCTCATGGTTTCACACCTTAACAAAGATCTAATTATCTGGTTCTTAGTTTTTCTAACTTTGATATATAAACTGTTTTTTTGCGTAATTTATCGGTATATCGTGGAATTTTGATGTTTTTCTGGTCAGGATTTTCAATGTATTTCTGCTTTCGATGGCACGCATCAAATTCATTGGGGGAAAACAGAAGGGCATGTGAGCAGGGAATTTTGGGGGAAACGAGAGGGACTAACTAGCCGACAGCATTTGACAATGTGTTCGGGTTTTCCACATTTGCGATACAATGCATTCAAAACAATGGCCGGGCAGAGAACCTTTCGCTCGGTGAAACATTTTTTTTTAATCGAATTGTCGCTTGATTTTAGGCGCTCAATCATCTTTCTCGGCAATTTCGATACACGTTTCGAATACCCCATAATCCCGAAAAGCAGGCTAGCATAGATCATTTAGGAAGGCGTATCTATTTGGAATCGGTCTGTGGAATAAATTAAGGATAATTTAACTTTTTTCAATCATAAGCTGTTAAAACATATTTTGCATCATGTGTCTTCTTTAACAATTTGCCGTTTTGCAGACGCAAAAGCTAATTTCTGAGTTTTTGCTAAAAAATGCTGGTTTTACGCCAATTTTATCAATTAAGATTTTTGATCTGATAGCGTGTATTTTCCTTTCTTTTCGGATTTAATGAAAGACATCCTGAGCAGAAGCATTTTTGCGCATTCGTTGTGTTTTTTGTTGCTCGTTCGGGAACTGAAATTGGTTCGAATTTTACTTTTTTATCATTTTTTATTAGCGAAACATTTTTAATTTTTGATTCCTGATTTGTTTACATGTTTCCTCATCCAAACGGTTTCTTCCTCTTATTGGTTTGAGAAAATTTGTGAATTTCCCGGAGTTTGCATAAATTGTTTCTAACGACTTTCTGGTTGGAATTGGTCCGGCAGGAAAGTTACTTTCTACCTTACTTGATAAAACACCTTTTTTAACATAAATCTTATGATTTATTTAGTTTTTATTGGTCGATACTTGATTTCATGATGCCTTTCAGCACCTAAAAGACTTTTTCCTGGTTTTTCAAGTAACATCATTTGAGAGGATTTCCGGCCTTTGTATAAATTGTTTTTGGTGTCCACTTCGATCGAATTGGTTAGGCAGGAATTTTTTTTCTGGTTTACTTGGCAAAACATAGTTTTTTAACTACATAGGGTTGGTTTTATTTTATTCGTTTTATATTTTACTTTCACTTTATAAACGGCATTTCCGCCTCATTTCTCTGATATTGCTGCCCCTCTAAAATCTTCTGAATTGTTTTTTTGTCTCTCCAGCCATCTGGCTGTCCAGACGAGGGGACGACTCCAATTTCATTGTCGATTCCGGACCCGGGGGAGGAAATTACGTCAACGGCTAGTAGCTGGCTAGCCGGAGGGCACTTTTCAGGGATGTCTGCCCGATAATGGGCCCGAATTTTTTATTTTGAGCATTAATGACACCCAGAAAATTGTTGTAGTTTTTCGTTTATTGAAAAAATGTTTCGTATTTCCATGATACCTACTCAAAAAATTACATGGCTAGTTAAATCAGAAAAAAATCCTTGGAAACTTTTCGTTTAGTGGTTTTTAACAATTGCTTCGTCTGCTTCGGGCAAAGTTGTTTAATTTTTATAAACGCTGCGATATTACGGCGAATACCTAGGGTAAATGTATCTCCGCGTAGAATCTATCATCATTCAAATGCCATTTTCAAAATGTTCACCAAACCTTCAGAACAATTCTACATTTTATTAGAAAAAAATAAGTTTCAATTGAACTCCGGACGCTAAATTAATTTTCACTTGCAACATACCCTCACAAACGTTTTCGTGGATGAAAAATGCAAAAAAATATAGATTTTCGACCCAAAATGGCCGGTTCGCGAGCCTAAATTTCAGATTTTTAAAATTCGACGTTTTTAGATTCTTTTCCAGCTGAAATATGGTTTAATTTTTGCTAAAAACCCTCAAAATACTTCTTTTACATTACTAGGCATTTCTAGACTAAGAGGAAAAATTCTGGTCCCGATAGTCCCCCCGATAATGCTAAAGAACCAAAACCCCACAAATGTTTCTGCTCTTTTTACACCACTCCCGTTTTCTGACCTCCAAACTCCCGCCGCACAACCGTCTTTGCTAAAAATAGCCCCCCTTCTGCTGCCCCATTTTTGACCACTGCGCATATTCCAAAAACTCTCTTTTCGCAGGACGGGGCTGCAAGCGGCAGCAATTTAGTGCCGCCCCCGTAGCTACCCAGAACTTTGGCCTCACTCTGCGTCTCTAACACCCTGTCTGTACTCTGCGCTCTCCCCCTTTCCCGTGTTCTCTGGCATCTCTGCGTCTCGCCCGTCTCCCTGTTCTCTCGCCTCTCTGTCCCAGAAACACGGGATGAAGGTGAGAGAGTGGGTGTCTGAAGAGAACCCAGGCATGCCAGAGCACCCCCGAGGACACAATCTACAACAAATACAACACACACTGACATCCACCTCTTCCTTTCGGGGGGCCCTCTTCTCTGCGTCTCTCGTTCTCTCTCGTCTGTTCTCTCACTTTTTGGCCACTCTCTAACCCCGCGGTGGTCCAGACGATTTTTGATTCACTAGGGGGCTTCCCGGTGGTCGTCAGCTGGGAGAGGACCCTTCACTTGTATTGAATCTTGTTGACTAGCATGTTTTGACCGATTTTAAATCTCTTAAAGGGATACCGACGGCATAGGTCGATCACCCCTGATCGACTTTTTGGTACGTAGCCAACAGGGCAGAGAACGCGCGCAAGGGCGAGACGCAGAGACATTTTCTTTCCCTAGGGTCACCGATTAATTATGCCGTCGTTTTCCCTTTAATTAGCTATAACTCAAGGCTCGTAGTGTTTAAATGTTTGTTTATTCCACGAAAATGCCGTAGCTTTAATAGGAGGTCTTTAAAAATCAGTGTCTTAATTTTTGGGAACCCTCCAGCGGAATTAACTAAAATAGTTCAGGGAGTTTTGTTTGGGGAAATACATTGCATGGCTTTTCTACAGCATTCTGCGGAAAATCGCGTTTTTATAATACAGGGTGTCCCAAAAAAAAAACCCCTCTAGAGGCCGTCAATCGGATCGGATCGGAATGATTTTTATACCAATCGAAAGCTCTCGGAAAGGCGAGAAAACAAGCGGGTTTCGTTTTCTAAGATTTAATCTGATTCTATCGATATTTCAGGTTTTCCTAAAAAGCCGGGAATTTTTCATCAGGAATTTCGCAATTAGCATGCAGATCTCGCATAAATCAGCAGTTTTCATGGTTTTTGGACATAAAATTAGCAAATAAAAAGGCTTAATTAAGAAATTCAACCCTCCTTGTTTTCTCGCCTTTTCGAGAGCTTTCGATAGATACCTAAATCGTAAAAATCGGAATCGACTGCGGACCGCTAGGTAGGGGGGTTTTGGGACACCCTGTAGATTCGACTGCCGACCATGTATGCAATAGGATAAAAGTGAAAATTCCAGTTACATTTCCGATTTTTGTAAAATATTTAGTGTTTCAAGTTCTTGTGTACCCTCCGAAAAATTGGTCAAATTGATCGCCCATCGAACGAAACGAGATATACTTCTTTTCTATAATATTTTGCAGGAATCAGCGTTTTTCGTTAATTTAGCCATTATCACTTTCATGGCTTTTTAATGCTAATAATTCTTGACATATTTTCTTTTTCGACACGAAATAGGGTCTAGCTTTAACTTTTAGACTTTTGAAAATTTTTATGTTTCTTTCTTTCGAAATGTTGCAAAAAATTATTTATGTTCACTGTCATCATGTAGCTTTAGGCTAAATAAAATCCAGATTCCTGCATAGAACTTTGAAATTTAAACGCTGGTACTGGACTGTTAGCAGGGAGGTACAGTTTTTTTCGCTAATCATTAATCGCGTAACCTTATAGTGTTTTTACCACTTTTAATTGCTAGAAAGCTTCCAAAAATATTGAAATTTTTAATTAAAAAAATTCGGCTTTGGTCGTTTTTCATATATTTGTGAACAAAGTCAAAAATTTTCGAAAGTATTGACTAAAATAATTTTTTATTTTTATTTTATTATGGTGTTTCATATTTTTTCCCTCTGGAGCAACTTTACAGAACTTTTAAATTCAATGCTTCAATTTCAGAAAAACCCCCGACTGGGCCGCGATTTTCACCTCTTTCGATCGATAGAGCCGGGGATGGCCAGCGAGGGGTCGGTTTTTAATTGAATTAAAACGTAAATTAGGGCGGCGATTAATGCATAACAGATTTAGTTTAGCTTTGTGTAATTTTAACTCACGAAAAATCTAGGTTTTCGAACAAAAACGTTTTCTCTATTTTAAGCAAAAAATAATGTTTCGAACAATCGCCTCTTTTGATCCGGTGTATATTCGATACGTCGAAGCTGTATTAGTATGACATTTACGCTTTATTGGATGTCTTATTGGAGTCGTTCTAAACCAACAAAATGTGGATTTTTGGTGTTGAAAAGGGAGGCACTTAGCTCTTTTCGAGCAAAAAAATGTTACGGGAAATCGCATTTATTCTCCCGGATTTTACTCCCTATTAGCTTCATGGCAGTACTGCTAAAAATATACATACAGACGTATTGTTAGCTGTAATTATAGCATTTACATATGTATGTAATATAATTAAGTTTAAAAGATAATACCAAACCATTATACAACTTAAATGGGATTTGGGGCGTTTTCGGTTCTTACACATTATCAGGGGGAAAACCGAATTTTTTCTATAAGTCAAGAAATGTCTGGTAATGTAATAATAGGTATTTTCATAGAATTTAGTAAATTGACTATATTTCAACTCAAAACTCTTAGGAACTCTTAGGAAAACCTTTAGGAATTTGAAATTTTGGTCGAAAATCGGCATTTTGTTGTCGAAAAATTGTTATTTTTGGATTTTTGATAAAATTTGTAAGTTTTACGTTTCAGAATCGTAAAAAACCGCCTGTTAAAAGCACTTCCGCAACCATACATTCATGGTATTAACTCAATTTTTTGTTCTGGCTATTTGTTCGAAAATGAAACACGAAAATCTAAAAAAATATTTTTAAAAATTGCTGGTTGTACTGTGTATTTTGAATAATTATACAAAATCATATTTTTTTAGTGAACTACCCGGACCGAGCGGACTCGGCACAACAGAATTCCTTCTACGAAACATCGACAAGCAGAAGAGCTCCGAGCGAATACACACAACGTCCTCCTCATCTGGAAGGGAGAGGGAGAAGGAGAAGCGGAAGAGGATGAGAAATTCGAATGATCATCGAATGCTCGACACTATACCAGCTGTCGATCCACAATTCGAAAAGTGAGTCGGCGTTTTAAAGGGGCGGGGAAGTGCCAGAATCTACCGCTTAAATCCGCTAGGTCTCGACAGCTATTGAGCCAAAAGAGCGGTTTTGTTTTTTACAGCTTTACGCTGTCAAAAACCGTTGATCGTAAGGGAGAGGAAACGAACATCGTTAAGGAAAAAAGGGTTGATAGGACAGCCCAAAAAAACTTAAATTTTGATTTTTTTTGAAACAAACAATTTTCAAATAAAATATTGTGAATTGCTTTTCACGTCGTTGCTTAAAATAAGGTGTGGGCATAGTTTGCCCATTTGTGTAAATACAATTTTCATTCAATTTGAACCTGGACCGCAAGCTGTAGTCATGCCTTCGGGATCCGTGATCAAATGCAGATTCATCCGGATTATAGAGCTCTAATAGCTTCGGCCTATCTTTTTTCTCCAAAAATTTAATTTTTACGTAAAACTATTGGCAATTGTTTTTTTTTGCTATGCTTAAAATTAGGTTTCCGGGCGAAATCAATCGACATGGGGTGCATTTTTAAATTTAACTTCAACACCTGAAGCACAGGCGGTAGTTTTGCTTTCCATGCCTTTCCGGATTTGTAACCAGGCACAGTGTCCCACGATTATAAAGCTAGAAACAATTTTTGCATATAATTTTTTTGAAACATTTTATTTGCTGTATCAGTCCCGAACTGCCTAGTAGCGTGATAACACGTATTTTAATACGGTCGTAGTAAAATTAACGATGTTTCGAGCAAAAAAGATAGCCAAAACTGCTAGGGGTGATTAGCGGCTTGTGCCGATTATGCGGTTCAAAAAAAATGTGCCATATGACTTTTTTGAAACCTACAATTTTGGGCTATAGAAATATTGATAATTGCTGTTAACATGGTTGCTTAAAATTAGGTATCCGGGCCAAAAACTTACCTATGTTTTTAATTTAAATCAAAATTCGCTACCTGAAGCACAGGCTGTAGTCGTGTCGTATCAATATCGTAAGCAGCTCCACAGACCGAGCATCGTACAGCCCAAAAAATTTTCTGGGCATTGCTTTTTCGAAACATTTAATTTCTAACTGAAAATATTGATTTGATAATTGATTTTTGCTATTGCTTAAATTAGGTTGCCGTGCGAAATGAATCGTCACGTCTTAAAAATTTTTCAGCTCATCACTTTTTTGAAACATTTAATTTCTAAGCCAAATATTGACCATTGAGCTCCGCTTCGTAACAATTAGCAATCAGGTTAAATACGCTCAAACAATTTTTACGACATTTCCAGAGTAATTGCCCAGCTGCTGCGACTTACCGTACACGTGGATCAACTCGTCGACAATCCAGAACAACCACCTGGGCCCCCGATTGGCCCGATGAACCATGCGACCCGAACACCGGTACGTTTACTCATTACAGTACTGTATTAATTTTCTATATAGTTTATTATTGTACTCGGTTTCAAAATGAGTAAAAAATTAAATTGGTTTTAAATCTCACGTTTACCCTTCCCCCGTTAAAAAGAAAGGTCCCAAAAAATTCCTAAGATGAAAAAATGGTAACTATCTACCGAGCTATCATTCCCTGCCCGGGAAGTACGAAAAAATACTACAAATTTCCAAAATCAAATTAGCGTTTAACAGCACTATTGAATTTGCTTGATTGGCTATAAACCTTCTATTTTACAAAATTTTTAGCTACAATTCAAATTCGAAGTATATTTTTTGTGTCTTTTGAATGGTGCTTTCAAAATATCGAAAAATGCTAAAACGCCGAAAGCCCAAAACTAGCTATTTGACCCTATTTCTAAGGAATATTTTTGTTTTTGTTATTACTTTTTTATAATAGACTGTTCCGGGCTAAATTTGAAATCCGTAGAATATCTTTTGGTGCACTATAGAACCGCGCAAAAAAAGTTCGGGAAAAATAGCTAAAACCGAGCTTTTTTTGGGTAAACTCGAGTTTTTCCGAATGGAGAATAATATATGGTACTTTGCAAAATAAAAAACGTCGATAAAACTATACTAAAACACTTATCACGCTTAAAAACGCATTTCGCACAAAAACGAGCAAAAAAAATTGTTAATAAACTTCCATTGCCAAAAAATGTGTTTTATCGGTAGAAGAGTGCTTTGGTAGATTGACATTTTCTTAATAAAAGCCGCTCTATTGAGACCTTCTATTTCCTAAATCCTATTTCTAACCATTATTTGACCATCGCCTTTCAGCTCCTCGTGACGGCCGAACGGAGTGCGACTCAAGACGATATGGTCCAAGATCTGGAGCGTCACTACCTCCTCATGGTCGATTATTTGAGGGGTGTGCCCGAATTCACCGAAATGGCCCTCCCGGATCAGGTATTTTTGGCATTTTTTGTTGTAAAGAAGTCTGATTTTAAGCTACTTTTATAATGGTACCACTTCAAAAGCGCAAAACCAAAATCCGATTTTTGCTCAAAAAAATGTTTCATAAATCTTTAAAACCCAAAAATTTGTGAAGATAGTATTATCTAGCTCCCTCCATTTTTTAGGCTCCTCCCCCCCCCCCTTCCCCCCCCCCGTGGCCGCCCCGGGCGGGCCGCGGGAAAGAGCCCCCCGGGGAAAAACCCAAAGACCTCCCCCCGGCTCCCATCTCTCTCCCGCGCCGCTTTTTAATTCCAGAAGTTCCAAACTAAAACTTTTTAATTATTACTCCTGTCATTTTAATTATCGTCAAAGTTCAATAAAATAACTTCATTAATTACGCCCTATAGTCGACATCTATTTCCAGGCTCCAGAAAGTTTTATTTTTAAAAATATACGCGACGATTTTTTTTGCGGGGCCAAGAAATGCCGCTTTTTATATTTGGATTATTTACGCGGCGGAGTATTTTAACTTTTATAAATAGTGATTTTATAATGAGCGATCGCGGGGCAAAAATGAGGGTCGGGATAAATTCATGCACATGGGTCAAGGAAGCATTATGTGAATTCTATTTGGATCGGGATCCCCGCCTTCTACAACATATTTTTTTTGCAAATTGACGGCTGAAATTTTATGTGAAAATAATGGTTGGTTGCAAATTGTTAAAGCCCTGAAAAATATAGCATATTCCGAGGATTTTGATAAGGGTACCAATTGCGATGATAGACAAACCCGGATTTAGAAGAAAAAGTTTCAAGCATCACAAGAGAGCAAAAATTAGCTCATTGGCTATTATCAATCATTTTCAGTTGTTGTATTCCTTAATTCCAAATCACTTTAAAAAAAATCTGCACGTTGTTGGTATCATAAAAGTTATGAAATAGAGTCTCGGGTTCTTTTGCATTGTCAGGGGGGGTGATATTAACTTTTTTGCCTACAATTCCAGAAATGGCTAGCAACGCATCATTAATTATTTTAATAGTTTTTTTAGAAAAATTAACTATTTTTGAAGTGAAAATAGTTTTCAAAAATTTCAAAAATAAATTTTGGGAAAAATCGGTCATTCTTGGCAAAAAACCACTATTTTTGTATCCTACACCTAAAACAAAAATAAATTGTATATAAAAATAAATGTTTTACGAAAAATTCTAGAGAAAAAGTAGCTTCCCCCTATAGCGCAATGGCACACTTCGTTAATTTTGGTATCTCTTCCAACGGACCAGTTATCTAAAAAAAAAAGTGTTTCAACAATTCTCAAAATTTAGAAAATTACAAAATTATTATTCGGCATCCATCTTGATCCCGCTAATTAATTCAATTGACGACATAGGGTTTCATATTTGAACGCTTACAGGAACAACTAGCACAACGACGGTTTCTGCCCTTCTACTGGCTCAAGTTGACGCAGTACACGTGGAAGACAAAGTGTGCCGGGATATGCCTAGCAAATGGCAGCTTTTATCCCGGAAGTCTTGAGCACCAACCATGTCCCGATGTTACGTACGTTTTTTTCTACGCTACACCATTTATAAAAGCAAAATCTTTTTTTTTGCATGTTTCGATAATAACCTTTTGCGGTTTTTAAGGTTGGGAATAGTAAAACAGTTTAGAAACACTTCCTATATTTATATTAAAAAGATGTAAAATAAAAACCATACCTTTATTTTCCGTTATAATTCCAGACGTCTGGTGTCCCGTCTCGACACGCTACTCCCAATCTACAGTTGGCTGCGGTTGGACGAAAAAGAGATGGCACTCCTCACTTTTATCATCCTTTTCCATGATGGTACGTTTATTTTTATTTTTTTTTGGAAAATTATGTGTCGTTACACCGTGGATTAATCGCAAAAGCCATCCATATAATTACTCCTGGTCCTAGTCTTCATTCAAAAAAAAACGAAAAACATTCATTTCGTTTATATCTAAAAATTCTAAATTTTCCGTAAAAATTTTTTTAATAGCACCGGAAAATTAAGGGCGTTTTAATTAAACCATTAAATAAAATTCAAAACTATTAAACGCTTCAAAATAATTAAACTTTTAGTTAAATAACATGACGTCCCGAAAATCGGTGTTTCAAAGTTATGTTGTGGTTGCTAGTATTTTTCACGGCTAATAAAGCCTGACACTAGGGTATTTATTCATTTCTTTATGAGCACGATACGTTATTTTGCGAATCTTGAAAAAAATATGTGCCGTCCCATGCTAGCTTGAATTTGAAAGGAATACTGGTAATGCCTCTTAATGATATTTGAGGTTCAAAAGTACAAATAAAAAAAATTTATTGAGAGTATTCTCTAAACTTTTGACAACGTTCTTGTAATATTAGCAATTAGAGGAAGCAATTAAAGCAAGCAATTAAATTAAATTTAATTTAAGTACAAAACAAACTATTAGCTAAAAAATGTGATGTTGAAAAATGAATGTTTCCAAATTCTATTGGGTTTCCGAAGTTTTTGCGTAGCTAGTTCCCATCGACGTATTCCGTGATTTTTCTTTCTAGGCATAATGGTACGTTTTTCAATTTTGAAAAAAAATATGTTTCATTCGATTTTAGCTTGAACTCGAAAGCAATCCTACCAATGATTGTCGAGCTATTTCTCGAAAATTCTTTGAAACACATTAAGTTTACCAATCAGTTTTCTAAGAAACTTTTCTTTGTGTCAGCCTTGCCCCACTTTCATAAACCACTAAGCAATTACTACACACTACAATTTACACTAATTAAATCAGGGGTTTAATATAAATCAAGTTCAACTTTGAACTAAATAAAATGCGGCGGCGAAAGAATTAATGTTTTATAGTTCTGTCGGGATTGCTGACTTTTTGCATTGCTAGTACAGACCTTGCAGTTGCTGATTTCATTTACGTTTTCAGACATAATTTACCTTTTTAATGCAAAAACAACTTATGTGTTACAAACTACTGATTCCGAATTACCATAATACCAATAAATTTTTTTCAAAGATCCCAATTTTACCCGGTTTTTAGGAGTACCCGATCTGTCAGCAGGTGGTCGGGTAAAGGCACGAGCTGTCGGGCAACTGTTTTTGAAGGTAAGAGATAAATGAAGTGAGAGAGAGTGAGTGAGAGAGAGAGTGAGAGAGTGAGAGAGAGACAGAGAGACAGGGAAAGATAAACTATCTATCACCAGGTCCTCCACTACCATATGCGACGTAAAGACGGTCCCGTCGACTACGATAAGCTGGCGATCCGTATGAGCCGAATCATGCTATTCGTCAACGACCTTACGGTAAGTTATAGTAAATTTATACCTTAACTTATTCCTTTTTAAGCCAAAAATTACCTCGCTGCAAAAAAAATGTGTTGCAACAAAAATTGAGCTGAGCGCCAAAATTTTGACCGGCAATTCTGCGCGAATTTTGCTTCCAAAAGAATCATCTTTCTACCAGGCCTTGACAACGGGCCGGGCCTTGCGGCCGGGCCCGGGCCCAAACTTGGCGGGCCGGGCCGGGCCCGGGCCTGGAATTGGAGGTCCGGGCCGGGCCGGGCCCGCAAGGCCCGGATCAGTCCTGGACGATGATTTTCGGAGAAAATTTTTCGAATTTTGAACCAAAAAAACGATTTTTTTCGACTTCGTTCACCTTTTTTTAATTTTTTTTCGTTAATTTGTGTTTTCGTTAGAAAAAATCAATACGTGACCGTATCCGGGCAATTGACATTCCTGGTTTGTAGTTTTTTTAGAAGCTCTAAAAGGTTTAGAAGCCGGCATTATTTTGCTTTTGGCCTGAATGGACTAGCAGGAACTGTTAGGATGGTTTACAACCTGGGTTAGGGTATTTTCAGGATCAGCTTTATAGATCTTAGCCGAAAAACGGCCAACCGCGAAAAACAACGAACAAAAATTGTCGGTAGTTGACCTTACTATTGGCCGGCAACAAAAGATTTGTAAATAGTTTTCAGAAAGTTTGTAAGGTTTTTCTATGTAGAATTAGTTAAAAACTGTTTCGAAAGTATTGCTTCGATTTATATCCAAAAACCCCTTCATAGGCCAAAAAAATTTGACCGGTCCCCCCTGGCCTTATTTAGTACCGGGCCGGCCCGGCCCGGCCCGGCCCGGCCCGGGCCGGGCTCGGGAGTGCAATTCTGGATTTGGTCGGGCCGGGCCGGGCCCGGGCCTGGCTGGGCGACCCCCCTCAGGCCCGGCCCGGCCCGGCCCGGCCCGTTGTCAAGGCCTGCTTTCTACGCATGCGCAACAAAACGTTGTATTACACTTTCATTCTTGAGACGAGATTCCTTTTTAATTCAAAAATTTTTTCGTGATAAAATGTGTGGCAAAAAATTACAGACTCAGCGCCAAAATTTTGGCCGCAATGGATACGGGTTCCTAATGGGCTTTAGCAATATCGTATAAATATCGTAATTTTTGTGTATACGCCCAGAAATTCCGATTACTTTACTATAAGTATTTTAATAGTGTTTTTAGTAAAATGTAACTATATTTGGAGTGGAAAAAGTATTAAAAACTGTAAATCGTTCTAAAACAACGACATTTTTCTCGAAATCGGCCATCTTGGTCGAAATTGGTGATTGTTTTTTAGTTTTTACAAAAATATGTCAGCTTTTTGCGTTTAGGAATAGAAAAAAAAACCGTTTGAAACGCTTTCTCTATTTACATTTGAAAAAAGCCCCTCCCCCGATAATGCCAAAGTCCCGATTAAACGAATTAAATTAATAGTTTTATTTGCTTTTCAGTGTATGACGCACTTCTCATTCTCCAACATGCAGGTCCACGAGATAATGCACGTCATCAACTGGAAGAAGGCGGTCGACGGCAGACTCGCCTGGATACATGGATAAATTTATATAGATTTTATTTTTTACAAAATCCTGTGCTGGTGCGTTAGCGGGGGGATATCTAAATTGCATTTCTCAATCTTTACGCCGGTGCTCTATAATGAAAAATAGACTATTTTAATAGGATTTTACGACGTTTTCAGACATCAAAATTTCTAAAAATTACTATAGGTTTCGAAAAATGGTTAGTTTTTGCTGAAAAAATTTTCAACATCGTTAATTTTGCATTTTTTTAGCTCATCGGATTTCGCCATTGCTAATATTAAAAATTTCGAAAAAATAATTGCAGTTTTCCAAAAATTCAATTTTTTTTTGGTAAAAAATGTTTCAAAATCATTATTTTTACATTTTTAATGGTTTGATAACTTTATAGTAATAGGTAGCTACGAAATACGCCATAAAAACAGTATCTCTTTATTAACGGGGAGTTTAGCCCCCCCCCCGCTAACAAACCAGTACCGCCATCTTCCCGTCTTCCTGTGGACCCCCTTTCTAGTTACAATTTGCATTTGTGATACCTTCAAAATAATTTTCATTATTCGAAAATAGCGGCCAAATTATATTCTATGCCTTTTCAACTCTATTCTGTCGATTTTAGCGCACTTTTTATGGCATGTACCTATTAACAAAGTATCGTGTGGAGCAAAGCATTTCATGAACCTCATTAAAATCAGCCCTTCCCACTTCATTCTTCGTCCTTCTTCTACCCCCCGAATTGTGATACTCAGGTCCCGAAATTAGACGCCAAAATACGTAGCCCAAGGAATTTTTTTTGTGGAATAAATTGTCAAAAACACGTTAGTGCATTGGAAAAACCGAGCGAGAGTGAGTGACAGAGAGAGAGAGAGGGAGAGAGAGAGAGAGAGAGAGAGAGAGAGGGGGGGAGGGAGAGAGAGATATTCTGAAAATTAACAATCCTGCAATTTCAAGTTCATTTTTGGTGCATTTTCAGCATAAAAAGTGCAATACAAAAGATTGAGAAACCTGAACGCAATATAATCGAAACTTCAGTGGACCCAGAATCTTTTGAGGCATCTACTGTACTATTTTTATGTTGCGCTGGGATGTCCGAAGGTATGAAAATGCCGAACAACCGTTTCTAGCACGCGATTCAACCATGTTCCGGTCATTTCTCTTATCTTATTCGCTAAATTTATTAAAGAACCAAAAATACCCAAATGCTACCGTAGTTTACGAGCTTTACTTTGTTTGGCGGATTTCGAAGGAATTGCGTCCCAGAATGTACGATGGGCCCCGCAACGGCGACACGCCGCATTCTAAACTGCGCCAAGTACCGTAATCGAGCTGATAGCGCCGGGACCACGGCTCCTTTTCTCCATTCGGATTTTTGCCGCAAGTTCTGCAAAAAACCCGAAAATATCGAGATATCGTAAGCTCCTTCACAAAAACAAGTTTTCATCTCGGATTTTGTAAATTATCCTCTACTGCCACCTGTACTCGGTATTATGCGCGAAAACTCTTTGAAAACCGGGTATTTTTTGATAACACTTTTTTCAACCTGCGCGCTTTTCGTCGTCTCAATTGAATGCTTTTTTCTTTTTCTGTAGCTTACATTGGCTAGTGGTTCAAACTTTTTGTTTTTAATACAACAAAAACAGAAAACGGAAAACAGAGTTTAGAATCGTCCGAGAAGAACAATTTTTGCTCTCTTTTTCGCATTCATCTTAGTGGAACTTTTACTCTTGTTCTTTCTCATACAAACTTTTCCTTTCAGGGTACCCCCGGATGCAGGAGATGGACCCGGGCTGGGACGCGTTTCGCTCCCAGAAGCGTGCCGCCGGCTACACGGCCCCGTATGCGCCATGGATGGTGACAGCGCTTCAGACAGTCAAGCTCGCCATCTTCATCCTGCTCCATGCCCTGCTCGTCGTCGGGACAGCCTGCTCGAAAGCGGTCGTCATTCTGCTCGCCACCAACTTTGATGGTCCGCCAGCGCATGCTGTAGGGACTGAGTTTACGAAGAAGTGCCCGGTAGATGGTCAGTTTGTTTGGCTAAGCTCTATTTTCGACTCTTAAAACTGAAGCCTTTTTAGCCCCCAAATTGGCGCTATTTCGGAATAGGGGACCCACTTTTATTATACCAAAATTGGGGTTTGTGCGATGTTTTCCTGGATAGTTTTGCGCGCTGGTTCCGAAAAAACACCACACTAACTTTAAAACCTAACATTTTCACAAAAAAATTGATTTTAGTTTAATGGGCTGCTAGGAACCTAGCCGCGCAGGCCCGACTTTTGGCTACAATACACTCCTAGCTCCGTTTTGAGGCTTTAAGGCTAAATGCTAGTAAGCCCGATCTTAGATTCATTGAGACCAAGTCTAGGCAACCCTGATCTACGTTAACGTGAGTAGAGGCCACCTGTAAACCAGGCCGGCTCTTCGCCCTTGTAACGTAAAGTAAGGTCGCGATAAACTGTTATTAAAACACGGAAGCGTGTGTGTTCCAATCAGGGACGTAGCGTAATACAGGCCCCGGGGGCCCGGGGCCCCGCCCCCGAAATCGGCCGGGGCCCGAAAATTTCATAAGGGGGGACCCTTATGATTTTTATTTTCTCAAAAATTTTGCTGCCTGCGGCGCTATATTTTCACGTTTTTACGGCTATTTGTAGAGTTATGCAACCTTTTTTTCAAAAATTTTTGCCTGCGGCGCTGTTTTTTCGGTAATGTTTTGAGTTTTTTGGATAAATTTTTGGGGCCCCCCGAAATTTTTTTCCGGCTACGCCCCTGGTTCCAATACTTAGATTATACTTTGCGCACTTAACGCACTGGGACACCGTATTTCGGAACAAGCGCGCAAAATTACACCAGAAGAAGTGGTTTTTAGAGTAATCAAAGTGGGTCCCCTATTCCGAAATAGCGCCCCCAAATTTCTGTTCAGCTTGGCTTGGCTTAGGTTTGGTTAGTTTAGGTTGAGCTACGGTTAACCTAAATTACCCCCCGTTTACTCTCTAGCCTGGTTTTGCCATTGATTCACTGCTTTTGAATTTGGCTTTGCTTCGTTTAAACTTAGCTAAGTGAGGTTCGGCTTAGCTCAGCTTGCGAGTTAAGCAATGCGCTAGATTAGCCGCGAAAACTGACCAAGTGTCCAAAAAATGATCCCCAAAATTATTCGCCGCCGGCCCCTAACTTGAATTGCACTAAATTTTACTTTACAGCCCTCTGACACAGTGCTGAGCTGATAAAAAAAGAGAGATCGTGGGAAAGCGGCGTAAACTATATACTACTTTTTTCACCCTCGACTTTCCCCTGCCTCGGTTTTGGCCTCTATTGAGTCCTTCATATTTCATGATTTTTTTTCTAGCTACACGCACGGAAAAACAACACGCGGCCATCTACTTGACGCTACTCTTCATACAAATCGACCCGGACCTCTGCGCGATCATCCAGTCCATCTTCCGGCTCATCACCCAGGGCCGCGGTACTGGTGGACTCAACATTACGGTTTGAGATTGCTGTATTTATATACCCTTTTCTTTAGGTAATAATCCTGGAATGCTGTCGGGCCGCCGGACTATCCACGATGTTCTTCCTCGTCTTCCCGAAGTTGGACATGACCCGCGCGCTGCTTTTGCTATCATGCCTTCCGCTTATCCCTGTGGTACGCCCGAATTGTTTAATTCCAACTTACTTTGATTTAGGCACAACGCATGGTGGCGAAAATGTCGCGCTCGCTGCGCCGGGATAGCACGCTCGTGAGACGGATGGGGCTGACGCTAATGTCCCTGCCAACATGTATCGTCTTCCTCACCTTGCTGACCGGCTGTTACTGGTGGTCGATTTTGGAGACGCCGTTTGATGTAAGTTTGGTTCTTTCGCGCTATCAGGGCGGGGGCGACTACCTTTTTTGAGGATACAATTGTTCTATTCAAAATAGCGAGCGGTTTTCTAAACTTTTTTACTATTCCGAAACGTAAAAACCGTACAAATTTGGATTAAAAAAAGTACAAAAATGTTTTTTTTGATTGGTGGTATTTCCAGTTGCAATCCAGCTAAACTAAATTTTGCTAAAAACCTTATCAAAACCCTTCGTATTACGTTAATAGGCATTTCTGGGTTTGCAAAAAAAGGTTGGTCCCCCCGATATTGCAAAAGAACCGCAAGTTCTATTGAACAATTCCGGATATTTGCTTTTAGAACTACGTAACGTTGCCGTTGGCCATCGTTCTCTCTTCACTCGGCTTTTGGGAAGCTTGGATCACCACCGGACATGCTGGCACCTTCTTCCACCACCTCTACCAAGTATGATTGTTTCTTTTTTTTTGTTTACTGGTCTTTTCAGTTGAAATACGGCATCCGCAAGCTGAACTCGCCGACTCGACTAATCGCCTCCAGTTTGCGGACGATCATCACGCTTTCCGTCTTCGCCGTCGCTGCTCAGCGTGGGGGGCGTTGTCTTCTCCGACATGCTCGATCTCGTGCTCCATTGGGGATCTGGTGAAGCGCAACAGTAAGTCCATATTTACTGCTCGAAATTGTATCTTGAGTGTTCTCTCGATCTCGCTATCGATCTGTGCCCTTCATCTGCTAGTCCGAATGTGCGCCCGACTTCTGGCGGGTTTGGAGCTCCGCACGTTGCCCATCTTCCATCCGCTCTTCTTGACGGCTCCGCTGCTGCTCACCACAATCGTCATCACATGCCACATTTCTCCGGATTGCAGCTTTGCACGTACCTTGGCCAGGTATCTTCTTGATATGGTACTGGTTCTATCAGGGGTGGGCAAGGTAGGTAGATCTGCAAAATGGGGACTGCCGGGATTTTGGTGGCGGGGCAGGGACTGCCGGGAGGGCGGGGGGGGGGTGGGAAGACGGCGCGGAGCGCCGGAAAAAATTCGAAATTTTTAACAATTCAACATTGCAGGTAACAAGTATTTCATCGGGAAAACGGAAAGAAGCATTTGTTTGAATATTTGAATTATTGCATGTAATAAGCATTGGGGGCTCTTGGGTACTCAGTAAATTTTAGAATCGAACATCGAACCATATCCTGCATACCCAACCGGCTGCCCGTCCTCGAGACATTTTGGGGGTTTTAAATGAAAAGTGCCTTTTTGAGGGTTTTCCGGATTAATTCCGGAATACGATGATTTGCAGCGATGGGAGCGGTATAAAATTGTAGAGCTTGTTATTCCACATCGAACCATACCTCACACGGCCCACCGGCAGTCCGACTTCATGGACATGTTGGACTGCTAGACCGGTAAACCTGGGTTTTTCGATGTTTTTCCGGTATAATTCCGGAATACGGTAATTTGAGGGTCAGGAAGTGGCACTAGATTATAGATCTCATCATTGCGCGTCGAACCATACCCTACATGTCCTTTTGGCAGTCCGACTTCGAGGAAATGTTGGACTGCCGGATTTGAACCCGCATCTGCAAAATGAAAAAACGGGGTTTTTGAGGACCGGGTCGCGACCCTTTAGGGGCCCATATCTCGGGGCCCCAATAGCGCACCGGGACGGTAGATAGCTCATTTTGTAGCTCAGGCTTGGGGCTATCTGGTGGTGTATCAGTCTTCTTAAGGAAACACAGGAGGCCGGAGATCCTGGACTGCCGAGTTTGAGGCCATTTTGCAGGAGCACATTTTACGGGTTTCTTCTAACAATCATATCTCGATAATTTCTCGATGGATTTGGCTCAAATTTTCGGAGGAGATGGACCGTAAGCTGTTCTATCCAAGGCATACAAAAGCGAAGCGTCAGCAGTCCGATTTAGGGGGTAAAAAGAGCGATTTACATTCTGCAGACATTTTGCAGACGCGGGTTCAAATCCGGCAGTCCAACATTTCCTCGATGTCGGACTGCCAAAAGGACATGTAGGGTATGGTTCGACGCGCAATGATGATATCTATAATCTAGTGCCACTTTCAGGCCCTCAAATTGCCGTATCCCGGAATTATGCCGGAAAAACCTTAAAAAACCAGGTTTTCCGGTCCGGCAGTCCAACATGTCCATGAAGTCGGACTGCCGGTGGGCCTTGTGAGGTATGGTTCGACGCGCAATGACGAGATCTACAATTGGGTGCCACTTTCAGGCCCTCAAATTACCGTATTCCGGAATTATGCCGGAAAAACATCGAAAAACTAGTTTTTCCGTTCCGTCAGTCCAACATGTCATGAAGTCGGACTGCCGAAGGGTCATCTTGGGTATGGTTCGGCGCGCAATGACGATATCTACAATCTGGTGTCACTTTCAGCGTGAAAAATTAACATATTACGAAAATAGAGCGGAAACCCCTCCCGGCGGCGGTTTTTGGCGGGAGCGGCGTAGCCGTCCCGCCAAAAACCGCTTTTTCCCTTCCAAAATGGACTGCCGGACTCCCGGAAAATGGACTGCCGGGATTTTGCCGCTGCAAAACCTTGCCCACCCCTGGGTTCTATTCAATTTCTTTTAGTTACGGCCTCTCAATTCGATGCTCGCAGTGGAGCAGCGACCCGAAGCCGTTCAGCGATCTCTACATCGCCGTCATCTGGTTGATCATCTCCATGTACAAGGCATACGAGCTGGCCAGCCAGCCGACCTTCGAGAAACAAGATGAAATGTAACGCCTAATTTTTGTTTTAAGATATTCTTTTTTAGCATACGCTCTTCGCCAGCTTTCCTGAACGGACTATGCGTGGAGCAAAGTCTGCTCGTCTTCGAGTTTGCACTGGCCCGAGATGTAGGCGTTTTCTTACTTTTTCAACACTTTTTTCCTTAGGAATCCAAGCAAATGAAGCTCGACTTTGACGCGATCTTTGACGAGAGCTCGGAGAGGCCAAGCTCCATGCGATACGAGGCTGATAAGTGCGTTTTTTCGCGAAATCCTTCTAGTTTTGGTCTCGATTTTTATTATCTTTTTTCAGGATGGCGAACGTGTACATCTGCGCGACAATGTGGCACGAAACCGACAACGAGATGCGGCAAATGTTTAGCAGTATCCTGAAGCTCGATGAGGAGCAAGCACAACTGGCCGCAAAGAAGGCGGGCACAACGGCTGGAGGCGATGCACAGAAGTTCCGACTGGAAGGTATCTCCTTGAGCTTATTTTCGAAATGCTATTTTTGCATAGTATTTGGAATCATCGGGGGATCAACTTTTTAATAAGGATCAAATTTTTCTTTTTAACTTTTCTAGTGCCAGAGGTGAAAAGTACTTTCCGTTAGAAAAAATATGGATTTTTTCGAGCTAGAAATCACGATTTTTCGAATGGAATTTCAACTAAACATGATCTTCCAAATGTGGCGGTTCTAAATTACGAATTCTTAAATTCTAATAGCAAAGCCCTTCCTTGTGAACCGAAGTCCTTTTCAGCCCATATCTTCTTCGACGACGCCTGGGAGGATCAACCCGAATTTGGACGTGCCCCCAACGATTTCTTCCGCACCTTCTTCCAGCTGATGAACACGATGATCCAGTAAGAATTTTGAAATCATTTAACTTTTCTTTTAGTGGCAAAGAAGACGCAACCAACGGCGACCCAACAAAAATCCTCGTCAGCACGGCCTATGGTGGGCGATTGGTCGTTCGCCTTCCTGCCGGCACGCTGCTTTTTGTGCATCTGAAGGACAAGAAATTGATTCGTCACAAAAAGCGTTGGAGTCAGGTGAGGGCCTTTTTTCCGGTAATTTCGATTGCTTAGGTGATGTACATGTACTACCTACTTGGCCATCGCATCATGGAATCGCACATGTCCATCGAGGACAAGCAGCTCATCGCCGAGAACACCTACATCCTAGCCATTGACGGAGATTCCAAGTTTGAACCGGAGGCGTTTTTGAGGTGATTTTCATGCGCATTTTTGATGAGGATGAGGATGATGACGCGATGCGAAATCGCATCAAAACTCTACCATGCGTTTTACTTATTGCTGCAAAAAACTGCAATTGATAATTGGTATAGTTGAAACAATAATAACCCTTGGAAAGTATGTTTGTCGGCTGGCCTTGGGCTTTTTTTTCACTGTCTTTTCTAGGTTACTCAATCTGATGAGCGCCAAATCGGACATTGGCTGTGCATGTGGTCGGATTCATCCGATTGGCCGAGGGATCATGGTCGCCTACCAAAAGTTCGAATACGCCATCGCCCATTGGTTCCAGGTGGGATTGTGTTTCTCAAACTAAAACCGTTTTTCTAGAAAGCCGCCGAGCACGTGTTTGGCTGTGTGCTCTGCGCGCCCGGATGCTTCTCACTGTTCCGCGCCTCCGCTCTGATGGACGACAACGTGATGCACAAGTACACGACGACGGCCGTCGAACCCCGGCACTTTGTCCAGTACGATCAAGGAGAGGACCGCTGGCTGTCGACATTGTTGCTCAAGCAGGTATCGCGTTTGGACTTGGTCTTACTAACTAGGCGTAGCGTCCCCTAGAGTCCAAATAATTAAAAACCATTTTTGTAGCTTTTTACGTCGGTAAGAAGATCATAAAAGTAATTTTTGATCAGATATCTGATCTTTTATCCGGCCTAACCGCGTAAGAAAAAAATATGTTTATAGCTTTTTTACTGGTTTTTGATTGCTAAAAAGCTACAATGTTTCATATTTTTAACCAGTTTTCAAATATTAGTTGACCAAAAACCCAAAACTAAGCATTTTTACAAATTTTTGAGCTAAAAATGGGCGTAAAATGCGGTTTTTTTTATTAGAGCCTACTGACCTCCGCTAACGAACTAGCTCCAATTTTATTTGCAGGGATTTTTCAACTAACTGCTATTTTCAGGGTTATCGTATCGAGTACGCCGCCGCCTCGGACGCCGAAACGTATGCACCGGAGGGCTTTGACGAATTCTTCAACCAACGCCGTCGCTGGACACCTTCATCCGTGGCCAACACCATCGATCTGCTGGCCGATTACAAGGTCTGTTTTATACACTGTCTATTATTTTTTCGTGCGCTATCTCAAACTCGTGTTTTTAGCGTGCCTGCGCGAACAACGCGTGCATCTCTCGCCTCTACATCCTCTACCAGTTCGGCGTTATCGGATTCTCGATGCTCGGCCCGGCCATCATCTTCTCCATGTTGGTCTATGCCCAGGTAAGCAACTAATTTAGCCCGATCCCTTTTTGCCTAGGTGGCCGCCTTCCACGTGCCGATGGATCGAATCATGCTGTACAACGCCGTCCCCATCGGCGGCTTCATCGCCTCGTGTTTCCTGATGGAGAGCAGCGTGCAGCTGTTCCTGGCAAAGATTCTATCCGTATGCTACGCCTTCGTGATGTTGGCCGTCATCGTCGCGACAAGTAGTCAGATTGTCCTGGAAAGTAAGTATCTTTGCTCTCTCATCTTACTTTTTTCCAGCCATGTTTTCCCCTACTTCAATGTTCGTGGTCGGAATGATTGGAATCTTCTTCGTCGCTGCCTGCTTACACCCACGCGAATTCACGAACATCCTTTATGGAACGGTGTGTAATGATTGCTTGGCTCGTAAACTCTTTTTTTTTTAGATCTTTTTCCTGATGATCCCTTCAACGTATGTGGTGCTGTCCTTCTATTCACTCATCAATCTCAACGTCATCAACTGGGGAACACGAGAAGCTGTGGCGAAGGCGACTGGAAAGGTAAATTCAGGACATCTATTGAAAATTTGAACCTAGGAAGTAAAGAAGGCCTCGGCCGTCGACAAATTCTTCGACAAGCTGGCCGGTGGACCGTTGGGGCGTCTCTTCAAACGCGACGGTCCCGAAGAATCGAAACGGATGGAGGAGCTCGAGAAGCGTCTGGAGGAGATCCACGTCGCGCTCAACAAGGAGCCGAATGGGAACAACGAAGGCGAGTCGACGAAGCCAGAAAGCGAGCTGAAGGATCTGTCTTTGAGCGATGTAAGATTTTTGGCTGCTTGGTTTTGTTAGGGATCCTGGACTGTAAACGAGGGAGAATCAGCTAACCTATCCCTATCTAGCAGAATTTTTAGCGGGCTTTCATTGCAAAAAGTTCATAAAAGATTTTAAAACTTTAGATTTCTCTAAAATCTATTTTTCTCAAATTTGTATGAATTTTCTAGCTTTAAAAACCGAGTGGAAGGTATGAAAATTGCGGATGTTTCATTATTGGAGCTCTAAAGGGCGTTAAGCCCCTTCTAAAAAGAACTTCCTCCCGTTAACAGTCCAGTACCTGGTTTCGCCCATGAGAAGTTGCAGAATCGGCTTTCAAATCGCTTTTATTTTTAGTCTGAGGACAGTGACGACGGCTCGGATATGGAAGTCCGAACGTCGACGCGTGATTTGTGGATGGATGCCGAATACTTGCAGGTATTATCATCCTTTTTTTGGCTTATTTCTATCTTTAGACCTGCGAAAAGGGACGGCTGAAGGCCAGCGAACAGCAATTCTGGGATCAGCTAATCGACACTTACTTGAAGGTGATTTGTTACGGCTCCGCAAAAACTTTCTTTTTAGCCTCTCCAAACGACAGCCGCCGAGACGTTGGCGCATGCGGATGCGTTGCGTGAGCTCCGGAATCACATCGCCTTCTCGCTGATCCTGCTGAACGCGCTGATGGTGCTGGCCATCTACTTGACGCAGAGCCACAAGGACGTGCTCGCCTTTTCCTGGATGCCACATGGTATTTTCTTTTACAACTCTTGCTAAGAGGAAGTAGGCCTATTAGGGTCCCCCTCCCACTAACGAACCAGAACTCGACCTGATGGTACTTTACCAATCTTCTATTTTTCCAGAAAACTTCACGCAGTACCGCTGGAACGGGACGGTGCAAGAATGGACCATGGAACCTGTGCCGCTGAAGGTCGAGCTGCTCGGCCTGACAATCATCTTTGCACTTTTCGGCATCCTTGTCGTGCAGACGATCGGTAGGGATTTTCCTCCTTTTCTTCCTATTTCCGCTTCCAGGGTTGTTCTTCCATCGGCTGAACACTATGGTCGGCGCCTTCCAAGAAATCAAGGCGATGGGCGACTTTGTGTCGACGACGACAGGGAAGAAGGCTGATGACGACGATGTGCTAGAAGCTGGTAAATTTTGCTCTATTATCAATTATATTTTTTGTAATGTTTTATAATGTGTCTAGCCTTTTTTAATAAAGGTCAGGAAAACATTTTACAAAATTTAAAGAACTAGATTTCGGAGCAAACATTACATTTTTCGAAGTTTTGGACAACTACCGTCTATACTTTTCAAAGGGCCTGAATTTTGTTGCTAAAAACCCGTAAAGCAGTTTCTAAACGTTTGAAAAATTTCAGTTTCTGAGTAAAAATCTGAATAAGTTGTGGGCTGGCTAGTTGAAAACCGTGTACAATCCGGTCCCCCGCAAATTCTGAGTATAATTGAATCAAATTTAATATTTCCTATTTCTCGTCTTTTTCAGCCCGTTCCCTGCTCGCCACGTCGGACTACTGGCGAGCCCATGGAGGTGCCGGCTACACGCGAGAAGCGGGCGCTGGACGTGACGCCGTCCTCCACAAGCTGCAACGGGCCCGTTTCGCCAGCGCCGTCCGCAACCACGACACGCAGCGAAAAGCTTGACCGTCGCGAGATCTCGTATGTAATAACACTGTGAATTCTTTGCATTCCACTCTCTATTCCCCCATTTGCACTGTGAATTTTTACATCTAGTGTGCCCCCATTTTTTGTGTATCTGGATAGATCTTTTTTGCTGTGCCTACGTGATTGCCTAGTTTGTACTAATTTGTCACTTTGTCGCTCTATCCTGCTAGCTACTGTACGGGTATAATAAAGGTTTTGCCTTTTGTGCAAGTTCGCTTTTTCGGAGCAGGTTTTCCAGTGGTTGTTTGCGTCAATATCGGACTCTTAAAATAGTTATAGTATAGAAATAGTTGAAATAGATTTCTAGTACATTTTCACTATGCTTCCATTGTCCTTTTTCATGTAAAACTTCAAATTTGCTTAAAAAAATCGGCTGGTTTAGTAGAAATATCGATATTTTTTTTGTAGTTGTTGATAACAACGTCATTGGAATTGGTTGAATAGACTGTAATATCATTTCGCTAAAAATTGGATTATAAGTTTCTTCAAAGATCGGCTAATTTAGTGGAAAAATATATTTTAATGAATGTTAAGATGTTGTGGGCATTTTGATTTGGCATTTTCAGTACGTCATGGCCAATCCGCACGCGAAACAGCCATCAGCCCCCGCACATCCGTAGGATTCGTTTTGGCTTCGAAATACCCGTTGTTTAGATCGTCCAGCTCGCCGCCCACTTCGCCACGACAGGCCAATCTTCAGGTTAACTTCAGTTTGAAGCCAGACCTCGTTTTTCAGGCCGCTCCTGGTCAGCACGGTTACCCACCCGCACCTCAGTATCACGAGCCGCCACCCGCTTATAATGTAAGGAATTTTATTTGACTTGAGTAAAGTTTTTTAAGGCTGCCCACAACTACCCGACGGTGCCCAATTATCAACCACAGCAACAATCGAGTCGCGCACAGGACAAGCCGCCGTATCCGGTATATTTTTGCACTGCTTGCGCGGGTTGAGATTTTTCGCTTGTACTGGTATGACGTCGTTTTTAGGAGCTATTTCGGATTCTGTACGTATCATCAGAAACTTTAGCCCAAACACTGGGCCAAAATTTCCGATTACAAGTAGGACTTAATTTTAGCCGAAGGTGGTAGTCTACTCTGATTTGTTGAGCGTATATCTGCCTAGTGGAAAGGTGTGATATTTTAACTGAGTTCTAACAGTTTCTGATAATTAAAAATTATGACAACGTTTACAGAAATTTTATAACAAGTGAAGTTTGGTAATTTTCGACGGAATTCGAAAGGGAAAGATTTTTGCCTGTTTTATGATGTTTTTATAATTCAAAACTATGTAAAATTATAAAAACATTTCAAGGTTTAGTATTGGCCTCCGGCGAGATATCGAAAAAAAGCTATTAAACCCGTCAAATCAAACCAATTGAAAATTCACTTGTTCAGGGTCGCAGATCTGGGGTAGTGTTTTTTTGGAAATCAGCACACGAAACTAGCCTTGCATACTTGTATTCCGAAAAAAATGCCGTCTTCGGCAAACAATCTAGTTTTTTCCTTTGAAATTCTAACCCTTCCAGACACAACAGCCCTCCGCGTATCCTGCACCCTCGTATACCACTCAAAATGCCCCGGTGCCGCATCTGATCTACAGTGGTGGTGAGCTCGTTTTTTCGGTCGGCGATTTATTCCGTATTCAGGTTACCAGCATCAAAGCGGCGGCCCTCCTCCGCCCCCGGCTGGCCCGGGTCAACCGCCCGTCGTTGTTCAAGTCGTCGGGCAGGGACAGGGCGTCCTTCGGTGCGCCTACTGTCCCAACGGAGTGGTTGGTTTTATTTTCGTTTCGTTTTATTGAACGGGCGCCAACATTTTTGATTGGGTTATGCCTGTTTACTGAAAAAACTTAGCGGAATTTTTTTGCAAAAATTAGTGATCCAATAAGCGGTTTTTTGCCTGGAATAAAACTTTTATCGCATCTATAGAAAATTTTTGCGACGCATCGGCGACGGCGATCGATAAAATTACGACATTTTCGTTTTTTTTCTGATTCGTGAGCATTTTCCGAAGTCTTCGACCAAAAAGTTAAAAAATTAAACGGCTTTATCGCAAAAATATTTAGGCCTTTTTGCTGTTATGCTACTTAAAACGGCTCGATGCGAGGAGAATAGTTTATATTTTGCTATGGGACCGCCAGTAGATCATATAAAAAATTTGGTGATCGATTTGTTGTTTTAACATTCATTCCGCCACGATTAACGATTCCGATACCGCGTTTATAACTTTAAAAATGACGGCTTTCGACGATCGATTAGGCACTTTTGGATTTGAGGATTGGGCTAAAATTTGAAAGATTTCTTCGTAAACAGCGGACGGGTTGGCATATTTTTAGCGCTTTATAAAATTCGATACTCGGCGATTCCACTTCCAAAATCAGGATTCTGCACTGAATGACTTTTGGAGAGAATTCCGTCAATTTTTTATTTCCGTTAATCGAGAATTTTGGTCTCTCCAGATTTCCTGTTGAACTGGTTCTTTTTCAGATCGTGCGCGAGTCGGACACTTGTTGCGTGGTGCTGCTGATCATCCTGATGTTGTGCACGTTCCCGTTCGGTCTGCTGTTCCTCCTCTGCATCCCGTGTGCCGTCCACGATCGCTGCCATCAGTGCCACCGAATCGGATAGTCGGCCAGACGGAAGGAATTCATCTTTTTCAAGCGGGTCCCTTATTGTTTTGTGCCTTGCCACTCGCTGTGATACCCTGACTGATTTCTCATTTGCGAGCATGCCTTTTATTTTTCAAATCCACACCGTGCTTTTCTTTCGTGAGTGTTTGTGGCGCTTCATTCTTTCACTAATGCCGTTTACACTGTATCCCTGTCACGGGTCATAAAGCACACTTTCGCAACTCTTACTATTTTTCAAAATTTTGATTGGGCTACGATCGCCCGAAATGAATCGACAGACTTTTTCATCTTGGCGTGGTACTGTTCTGTTAGCAGGGGGCTAATTTTACCCTGTAAGGAAGGTTCTATAACAAAATATTGACGTTTTTTATAGAATTTTACACGGTTTTTTATATAAATAGCTCAAAAAAGCTTCAAAGGTAGTTGATTAAAACATCTTGATTAAAAATGGATGAAGAAGGACCCAAAAAGGTAAAAATTTTTGAATTTTCAATGTTTAGAATATTTTTGTAAATTTCAAGCAATCAGAAACTACAAAAAATACATTATAAAATGCACCTTTTTTCTTGACAAGGAGGTATAGGCGGAAAAAAGTAGTCTTCCCCCTGCTAACAGTCCGGCACCCTTGGGTTTTTTTTTGTGAGAATTCTGAAAAAGCCCCAAAAAGTTCCGAGCATTCTAATAGAAGCAGACGAGCAGTGATCGTTTGCGGAACTTTGCCGGAACGCAGTTTGGCGGGGCTAAAGCGCTGCGCTGGCCATTCACGCGGAATCGAGTGGAGCGCGGGGTTCGGGATTCGCGCGTGGATCCGGTTATTCCCGCGCGTTTTTGGAAATGCCCCTATTGGCGAGCACACAAACGCTGTGTACGGTCTGTTTTTTTGGCGTCAACGGACCACTGTTGTTGGCCGGGTGCCAAATACGATTCTACTTTTTAAAAATCATTACTGTAATTTATACGAGGCGTTAATTTCGTGTCACAATTCAAAAACTAAAACCCCTTTTTGCGTGTGCCCTGCCAGCCTTCCTGTCAGTTCCTACGGACAAACACACAAACAAACAAACAAACAATCAGTCAGCCAATGAATGGATGAATTGTCCTGGGCGAGTACACATTCTATTTGCACACCCCTGGCCTATCTGACAGGCACAGCGACTCGCATTTTGTCTCTAGGTTGTTCCGCCCTGAACCTTCTCAATAATTAGAATTCCTTGGGCATTTTGGGTCAGAATTTTCACAACAAACCTTGTTTGCCTGCCCGGGGCGTCTATTTTTTATGAATCTTCGATGAAAAACGAGCAAAAAGACCAAAATATGTTAAAAGATTTCCCCAGTAAACCAATGCAGGATGCATCTATTTTCCTTGATTCCGATGAAAAT